CACTTTCTCATATTTCAGCTACTCTTTAACTTGGGATGGCATGATCCTCTGCAAGTTCGTCCTTAGTAAATAATATCACTAAGTCAAAATGCATTTGATACCCAAACAAGACTATGATAGAGTAAAAACATCCCAGTTGTAACCACCCTAGGCCAGCGCCCGTCTGTGTAATTTGTCTGGCTTGCTGTACCCACAGTCACCTCTTGTGAAAGCTGGAGAGTAACAGTGGTGGCGAGTAGATTGCTTCTGTGTGCTCTTTCAAGGGCCGTGTGTAGTTTGAGGTTACTGAACATCTGCATGTGAACAGCTGGCACTCAGTGGCCACCTGCAACTCATAGCTTCCGAGGCTAGGAGCCCCTCCTCATGCATCCCATCCCCGCGAGGGTACCTCCCCCACAACCCCGTGGTCATTTCTTTACCCGCCAAGCATTGCCACCTTCATTTGTTCTCATCTACTACGTGGTGTTGGGTGTGCAGTCATCACATCTGAGTGACAGGATGACAGGACGCAAGTCTATGCCGGCCTCTACCTGCAGCCCTGAGACACCTTATCTGAAGGGAAGAGCTCTAGGGCCCAGGGGGATGATGGGAGCAAAGCCCCTGGCTGGTGCCCGAGGATTCATACTACTTGCTCCCACTACTTTGTAAACTAATTTAAAGATGATGTAATTTTTTTTGAAAGAAGGAGGGCCATGCGCCTGTATTGTCTAGCCCTGGCATCTGGAAGATTAAGCCCTGATAAAGTGGCAGAGATGTCCAAAGATAACACAACCCTGACTTCCCTACCAAACACCAGATTCCTGAGTACACCCGCCAGACTTCAGGGTGTCACAGGGCACCCTTGCACTGACCCTGTCTAGACTCTATCCAGTCCAGGGCAGGATGCCACCCCACAGGGCCTGTCTCTGCTACATTTGGGAGCAACTTGACGTGGCCTCAGTTTCCCCTTATAAGGTAAATGTGTGGCTGCTCTGTAGTGCTTAAGCACCTAAATTTTAGGGATCTCCCTCCTCCCTCTTCCTCCCACATCTCCCTTCTCCTCTCTTGCTTCCTTCTCTGATATAGGTCATAACCTAAATTAACTTCTTGGCAACAGTTCTGTCAGCAGTATTTCTGTCTTTCTTTTTAACACCTTGCTCTTTTTGCAAGCCCTCATAATCAGCGTGCAGCACTATTTTCAGGTGTAGCAGTCACTCTGAGATATAAACACGTGTCTGCAATCTTAGCGCCACCCGCTGTCCTGTGGATCCCTTGCTCTCTTTGTCATTGTAGTCATTTAAGGGCAGAGAGCTGTTTCTTAGGCCTGAGACCAAGAGCTCTGGGGGCAGCAGGCGGCAGAGAGCCCATGGATGTGCAGAGGGATGGGTACCCAAGGTTCTTAGGTTCCACCTGAGCGACTGTCAGCTGAGGAGGCATTGAGAGGCAGGAAGCTCAGGAACCAGCCTGTGGCCACACGGCAGGCTTGCTCTCCTTCAGGCCACCTAGTGTTTGCAGTCTGTGGAGACTCACTCCCAACTGCACTGCCTACAACAGACTCCCTCAGAGGCAGCTATCCTAGTCTCTCGAGTCAACCTGCCTGAGTGGATAGACCAGTCCAGCCTCCTCTGGCCTGTGTGACTCTAGGAGACTTACTTTGATCTCTGGGCCTCAGTTTCCCCATGTGGTCAGTGGGGGAGGTAAATAGTACACCTGTGAGAAATTACAGTTTATCTGAAGTCCAGCAAAAGTCACATATCATCAGTTTTCTAGTCCAAAATCAGATGTCTCGGCAGCCCAGCTCCCTGGTAGTGGACAAAGGTTCTGCCTTGGTGGGTTAGAGGAAGCTGAGCAAAAGATGAAATCTGGAACAAGTGACCAGAGTCCAGGCATCAGCATTCTGCCAGACACTCGATGGGCAGTGGCAGACCAAAGCAAGCATCTTCAGGAGGCAGCTCCCAGATGATGTCAGCTGTGATCCTCACTAAGCCACTTGTTTTTTGTTTTTTGGTGTTTTTTGTTTTGTTTTGTTTTTTCTGCCCACTATCCAGCCAGATCCTTTAGACTGCTTTCTGAGACTGGACACAATCCAGGCTCCTTCCAGAAGCCCCCTTCTGCCTCCATCAGCATCTGTCTGCCCTAAGACCCCAGTGTTTCCATCACATGCTGAATAGCGTCCCCTGGACCCAGGCCTGGGAAGGGGACCTGAAGTTGAAATAAACTAATATTCTTTGCAGAGCAAATATTTAAAACCTCATAACTGAAATTAAAAACTAACAACAAGCCAATTTTAAGGACTCAGGGAGGGGCTGGAGAGACAGCTCAGCAGTTAAGAGCCTTCCTTATGTGAGCTTCTCATGGTACCCGCTTGGAGACAAGACTAGAGTAAAAGCAAAGAGGAATAACACACACACACACACACACACACACACACACACACACGGGAGCCCATGTCCACACTTCACACCACCACACTTTGCAGCTCCACCTGACCCAAGGCAAGTCCTGTCCCCAACGTAGCATCTTAGGCTCACCCAAACATTACTTCCAGGCACCCAGACACCACCTTCTCTTGTCCAGGTCCCTCTGCCACACAGACACCCGAGTCCAGGGAGTTAATACCTAACACTACTCCACTACTGACACCATGTCATTCTCTCCCTTGTCTTGAGGTCCCAGCCTGATGCCTGAACACCCACTCCAACCTTTGGCCTTATCTATGGCCTTCAAGGGGCTAATCTTACTAAAAGGCCTTGTACTCTGATGACATTTCTCTCATGGGGCAGACTTACAAGTCCCTTCCTGCAGACTAGATGGAGAAGGAGCCTAAGACTATAAGCAGAAAGGGTTTAGGGCAACTCCCTTGTCCTTTGTCCAGGGTGCTGGAGTACCCCGAGAGTCCAGGTGGGCCTAATGGCAGGTGTCCCCACCACTTGCATGGTTAGTGGCTTGTAAGAGCCCTGGAAAAGGCCTCTGAATGTGGGTGTCAGTTGGGAGGCCTGGTCAGTCTATGGGGCCTCTGACAGTGGAAGCAGTATTTATCCCTAGTGCACCAATGGGCTTTGGGAGTCCATTCCCTATGGAGGAATACTCCTTCAGCCTAGATACACAGGGGAGGGCCTAGGCCCCGCCCCAAATGATGTGACAGACTTTGATGATCCCCCATGGAAGGCCTCACCCTCCCTGGGGAGTGGATGGGGGATGGGATGGGGAGGTCAGTGGGGCACATGGGAAGATGGAAGGGAGAGGAAACTGGGATTGATATGTAAAGTAAGATTGTTCTAATTTAAGTAAAATTTATTTAAAAAGGAGGAGAAGAAGAAGGAGGAGGAGGAGGAGAAGAAGGAGGAGGAGGAAGAGGGGGGAGGAGAGGGAGGAGGAGGAGGAGGAGGACTCTGAACTGGCTCTGGGACAAGACATGCCTAAGGGGTTTCTGTTGTTCTAAGAAGGGAGAAGGGGCTGGGTGAGGGGTCAGGCTTCTGAGACACAGAACTCTGTGGCTGGGATGCGGAGGAGCTTAGAGATGACAGTAAAATGAAAACCTCAATGGTGGTCTAAATCCAGCATGGCAAGAACTCAGGGTATGAGCTGGTAGTGAAGACCTTGTCTAGTAAGCTGATCTCAATTCAGAATGTCTCCTTTCGGACACATTTTCAAATTCTTTTTTTTTCTTCGGGGCAATGTTGGAGACTGAACCTTGTGTCTCACACATGCTAGGCAAGTACCCTACTGCTGAGCCATAACCCCTGACCCCTGAGGACTTCTTAGAAGCCTTAATTTCCCCAAGAATCATTTTCATTTTTGCTTATGGCTATGGGAATGGTTTGCCCTGCGCCTGCAGGCACCTCTGAGGCCACAGGAGGGCGTCAGATCCCCTGAAGCTGGAGTTACAGGCAGCTGTGGCTGCTCCAAGTGGGTACTGGTAACCCAGCTTCTGTCCTCTGTAAGATCAGCAAGCACAGTTGACCACTGAGTCATTCCTACTCCCCAAGAAGCAGTCATTGAAGCGTGTATAGAAGGCATCTTGATTGATCTTCAGGCTACTATAACAAAATGCCATAGACTGGGTGACTTGCAAACAACAGGAATTTATTGCTCACAGTTCTGGAGAGTACAGGAGGGAGGGGCAGGTGTCAGTAGATAGGACGTCTTATGCGAGGACCGCCTCCAAGTTCAGAGGCTGTTCTTTTTAGCCATGTCCTGGGAAAGAAAATGGGGGCTGGCACTTGAGGGTTTTCACAGGAGTTTTGAAGGACAAAAATCTCCAGACTATTGTTTTTTATGAAAGAGATAACTTAGGAAGTCATGGTTTAAAGTGGCTTCCCTCCAGGAGGAACAAGTGACATGGAGGAGGAAGCTATGGGAAGGGATGTGATTTCCACAGGGAGCCTGGGAGCCCCCATGCTTGTCCTGAGAACTGGGTCACTAACATTCTAAGTCATGGGCTCCTAGATACCTTGGAACTTGTAAATCTGAATGGCTGCAAAACATCTTGTGTTGGCACCAGTTGTAAACATCATCTGCACCTTCTGACAGAACCTTCCCCTTTCAGGGACATGGCACAGAAATCACATGGCAGTCCACTGCACCAGAATAAGGGTGACCACACTTTTGACTGATGCCACGTCCTGTCCCCCAGTGCCAACTCAAGAGTTGTCAGGGGCAAGGCCAGAGTCAAAGCAGAGCACTCACTTACTGACTTGTTCATTTATTACTTCTTTCAGCAGATACCTGTTGCACGCCTACTGTTCGGCTGCCTTGTTCTAGATGGTGAGACTACAGCAGGAAACAATAGCGAATTCCCTTTCATTCTAGTTCTGAGAGCTACAGTGCACAAGACAAGCCTTTATACTCCTTAGTAGTACACACTATGGAGAAAAGTGCTCGAGTGGTGTGTGTGGAATGTGTGTGTGTGTCTGTGTGTGTATCTGTGTGTGTGCATGTGTGGGTGTCTGTGTCTCTGTGTGTGCATGTCTCTGTCTCAGTGTATATGCATGTATGTGTGCGTGTGTGTGTGTGTGTCTGTGTCTGTGTCTCTGTGGGTGCATGTATCTTTGTCTCTGTATATATGCATGTATGTGTGTGTGCATGTGTGTGTGTGTGTGTGTGTGTGTGTATCTGTGCACAAGTGACAAGGTTAAGTTGAAATTGGACATGAGAAGACTAGGCCAGCCTCTAAGTTTCCAATCTTGAGTCACACAGTATGCTCCATGGCCATGCTAGCTAAGCAGATATGCAGCAGACTGGAAGAGACATTCGATCAGATCTGGGGGTCACAGGATTTTGTTCTTCCAAAGTACTCCAGAGTAGTGGCCTTGGGAAGTCATCAACCTTTCCAAGTGTAAACTCTTCTGCAGTAGGATGAGAACTCGCTGTCTATGTCCTACAGTGTTGTGAGGGCAGTATGACCAGAGGCAAAGGGCCTCCTGGGGCCCTCATTCTGAGTGCCCTTCAGTTGGCCTTTCCTGCCAAACTCAGGGTCACAAGGAAGGCTGGCACCTGGAAGTCATGCAGAACAAGTGATGTATTTCTGTTTTCCTCTCCTCACGATTCAGTGCAAAGACCCAGAGAATAGGATGGTTGAATTGCCAGCCCCCACACCCTTGATGTGGTTTCAGGCCACTTTCCCACGTAGCCACTTGAGACCTGGATTTACAGTGGCCCGGAGGAGGTTAGGCTTATGATGCAGGCAGAGACTGGGAATCTAGCTGGGCATTTTGGCTGCCATCTTGTACTCTCAGCTTGTCTGTCTCCAGCATACTGACCCAGCAGGAAAAGGTCATAGACTTGGATGCAGCCTGAGCCATATCTACCAAGTCAAGCTTATGTTTAGCCATGGTGCACACTCGTGACAGAGAAACACAATACTTGTTTGCCCCTGATATTCCACAGATAAGGTATCTGACTAACTCAAGCAGTGACTATGAACTTCAAAGGCTACCAGGAAATGAGCTGGCCACTTACCACTCACTTTCCTCAAGACTGATGACGTTCCATTAACACACAATTTAAAAACGAGAAAACTGAGGGACGGCAAGTTATAGGAACATGTCCAAGGTCATGGCTCCTAGGCGAAAGAGCCCAGATTGAATGCAGGCTTGCTTGCCAGCAAAGCCAAGGGTGTTGTGATCACTTGCTTCCATGCAGAGAACTAGGAACAAAGCCAGCAGCAGCCCTGTTCCCTGGGTCATGGGTCCCCTTATTCCATGAGCGAAGCTTGCCATTTTAATGAATGACTTTCCAGGAAAACACATCACAAGGACTGGGACATCTGACAAATTATAACTGAGCTGTTCATCTCTGAGAAGCAGAGGGAATAACCTTGAAGACACCTGTGACAACCTTCTCAATACAGGCCAGGGGTCACCTGTGCCTGAACACTGAGCTCTGGATACTATGGCCATTGGGTTTCTCCTTAGCCACCTGCTAACTGTGTGACGTCATATGCCTGGAAAGGTGGTGGCGCTCCCGGAAGTACTCGTGACAAATGGGACAAGTGAGAACTTCCTCTCTCCGTTTCTTAGAATGTGGGTCGGGACCCACGTGCTCCCTTTTGTGATGGGAACGCATATGGAAGACCAGGTCAGCCGTGAGACGGAAGGCAAGGTTGCACTTAGCACACCAGTTCTGAGTGGACAGGCCTGGGGAGGAGAGGGTGGGAGGCAAGAGAGCCCGAGAGGCCGTGGCAGAGCGTGTGGAGGACGTGTGCCCTTGCACCTGGGTGTGATCCAGCCAGGGTGTGGGAGCCCCCTGGAAAGCATTACAGAGCAGAATGTTCTGCGACAATGTGTGCAATCTCCAGAAATCACCCATGAGCTTGAACGTTGACAGCTGAGTCCACCCTGGGATGTCCATAGTGGTGATGAGTCCTGAGAGCTCCCACGGGCCCTCTACGTTTCCACGGTCCGGAAGCATGGGGGAGCGTCTAGGTTTCTCTGCTGGGCGCTTGGCTGGCTTGCTAAAAGCACTCCTCTGCTCCCTCCGGGCCGCTCCTGGCCAGCCTGAGTACATTGGGTCATCCACTGAGGCTCTGGGGTGATCTGAGGGCAGCTGCTCAGTGCCAAGGCAGCCTTCTGGGTCCTCTGGCTTCCTCTTCTGGGCTTGACTGTCCCCTGGCTTCTTCCGGAGATATGACAGCTCCATGAAGGCACCCTGTCTCTGCTCTGAGCATGCCTTGCAGACCAGAGGCCCATCCACTCGAGGCTCGTTCGGTGCTGTTGACAGGCTTGGCTCAGAAGAGACCACGTCTTGGCCATCCTTACCTGTAGCAGCTCCAGAGTCCAGGAGAACTATTTTCTTGAGCAGCCCCGACTGGATCTGCTTGGGTTCTGTGAGTCTCCATCTTTTCTCAACTGAAGCACTCAAAGAAGCCCCTTTGCCCTCAGCCGTGTGATCAGCAGGGCCTGACAGGCTAAGCAAGGTGGATGTTCCAGCAGCCATTAGTCTATAGGGCTTTGGAGTCCCAAAGGCCTAGTCGCTACCCCAGGAGGAGCTGTGAGACTGGACTGGATGCACTCGACCACTGGCCTCTGCAGAAAAAGAGAGCAACAGGACAGTGAGGTGGACACCGGTCAGTCAGTGCCCCGTGTAGGCTGACACCAGACAAGCCAACTTTCCCTGGCCTTCCTTTGACATCTGTGAAGTGGGAGCATCGGAGGAGAAAGGGGCAAAGAATGAGCTCAGACAGTTTAGACTCCAGCAGCAGGTAGAGACAGGCATCCGCCAGAAAGAGCCCCGGAGCAAAGGAGCAAACGCACCAGATGACTACCCCGCGGCCCCATGCAGGGAAAGACAGGCGAGCCACAGAAACAACTACTGTGATTGACAAGCCTGTCTCAGAACCGCAGAAGCAGGAAAGGGAGGGAAGGGAGCCTGCTCTGAGGCAGAAAACGGGAGATCCTGGACACCTACCAACAAGATGGCCCTGCAGTGAGGAAAAAGGTACCGTCGGCTCCTTCTCCAGCACTCTGTCTGGCCCTGAGTGCTCCAGAGCCCAGGGGAAGCCACGGCATCCTGGAAAGGCAGTGTGGAAGGTTCACAGATTCATAATCTTGGCTCCTGTGGTGTCCTTTCCTTCCCTGTCTCCTTCACTACAGCCCCTTCCCCCACATCACATCCCCAGCCTGCTCCCTGTTTCCTCTGAACCAATCTTAGCATCCTTGTCCCTGTGTCCCCCTACTCCCACCCAAGCCTTGTACGGTGAGGCTGCCTTCCCATGGGGACCCTACTGTGGCTGAGACCACATAGCGGCCATGGCTTAGTTTAATGCGTCTTTGTCTGCTCCGGTCCTTGATAGGGAGTGCTTTCTCTGGAGTCCTTTGGGAGTCGGGGGTTTGATAGATCAGCCAGGGATGGGGAAGAGGCATGGCTGTTTGTTGTGGGGAAGCGTCATTAAGACCTCGCTTTGCCCTCACCTAGATCTGGCCGCCCTCTGAGTCACAGAAGGAAAGCTATGGAAGGTCACGGTGCAAGTGGAAGGAGGTGCATGGGTAGCTACAGCGGGGTGCAGCAGCAGCAGAGGACTGAAGCCCCAGAGTCCCGAGGGATGCCAGTGTGGGGTCCTACAGATGTTCTTCCCACACCGCGGGAGCTAACCACCAAACACGTGCTTAGAAGTGGCTTTTACTCTTAGTGCAGATTATAACCCGGCATCGTTTCCTTTGAGAGCTGTAAATCTCCCCTGGTGTGCAGATCTGAGGGTCCCTCGGGAACCTGCCCATCAAGCAAAGGCACGGGCTCCGTCAGCACCCTGCCCTCCCTCCTCTGCCTTAGCCATCATATTGTCCAGCTGTAGCTCTAGGCACAGCCCGCCCTGGGCAGGATGAGTGTCACTTCTACTCTGCTGATCTCTCAGGTCCAGGAGAGATGGCCTGTGCCACTGTCTGCCCTCTGCAGCCCCCAGAGGGCACCTAGGTAATGCACGCATCAAGTCATCAGACGGTACTGTCTAGACCGAAAGGTTCCTAAGCCAGCCGAAAGGAGGGGGAGATGGTTGCTTCTTGGGACTATAGAGCAGACATCTGATCACTGATGCAGTCCATCATCTTCTCAGCCAAGTCCAGTTTCCAGTGTGTTCCTACTACCGAGGTTCTCCGCAGCCGCTCGGTCCCTGCCTTTCTCCAGCTCAGGTGGCCAGCCGTCCCCCTGGTGGCAGGACCTACCCTGCCCCACATACTAATGCATCCCTTCTCTGAGTTGGCCAAAGCTGATGTATCCACTGGTATCCAAAGCCCTGTGACTGTCCTAGAAGTGACAACCCCACCCAACTCTGAGGGCTTGCCTCCAGGACTCTGTCAGGGAGGATGTCAACACAACACACACTCCCATGTGCACACGTGTGAGCAAGCACGCACAGAGGCTGTCACCCAGTGGCACCGGTGGCTCAGCACCACTCCAGGATCTGTCAGCACGGGGGCAGCCACTACCGTTTTAGCAGAGCGCAAACGGCATCACCTGCCAGCTTGACTTCTCTGACAATTCTAATGCGTTTCCACCCACATTAACAGCTTTCCGTGCTGGCGGGCGTGCTGAGTCTAATTCTTGTTGTCAGGTGTGCTAGCCCGCTTCAGGTACTGAGGGAGCAGCAGGAGCCTCTGTAGGCACAAGTGACCGTGGGGCTAGAGGAAACTTGGCGGGGTGGGTGTGGGCTGTGAGCACGGTTGGCTCTCCTCCTGGCCTGGCTCTTGTCTGGGGCTTTAGTCTCCCAGCTCTCCCCTCACCTGACACACTCACCTCTGCCCCTCCCACAAGCAAACCCACTCACTTCCCCTCTGCCCCTCCCACAAGCAAACCCACTCACTTCCCCTCTGCCCCTCCCACAAGCAAACCCACTCACTTTCCCTCTGCCCCTCCCACAAGCAAACCCACTCACTTCCCCTCTGCCCCTCCCACAAGCAAACCCACTCACTTCCCCTCTGCCCCTCCCACAAGCAAACCCACTCACTTCCCCTCTGCCCACATCAACTGTCTGCTCGTCCCAAACCACAGGCATCTACAGGTGAGCTGGCTTCTGCCTGTGTCCTGAGGTGCCAGGCTTAGAGGGAGCGGCACACTATGAGGGAGGCACACAGGCCGCAACGCCAACAGAGAATCTGACCATCTCCTGCCACAGTCCTGGCAGAACCACAGCGCTGACAGGACCAGCATTCTAGAGTTTTTCATCATCACCGGAAAGACTTACCCTGAGCCAGAGTGACTCAGAAGTCTCTAGGCTCCTTACTCCCTGGGACTCGGGGGCTACCTGGGGAGCTGCACCATCCCGGTGCCTTCTGTGACCCCGTGCAGGGAGCTGCACCATCCCGGTGCCTTCTGTGACCCCGTGCAGGGAGCTGCACCATCCCGGTGCCTTCTGTAACCCCGTGCAGGGAGCTGCACCATCCCGGTGCCTTCTGTAACCCCGTGCAGGGGGCACACAGCACATGCATCTCCTGCCCACCCTTTCTTTAGGAAGTCCCCAAAGAGATTCAACCAGCATCAGCTCTTGAAGGGAGTTCAAGTACAGAATTTGCCCAAAGTGGAGGGAAGGGGAGCCTCGACACACTCCCCTCTGGCAAAAGCTTTTGCACAGCTGCTATGACACAAAATGCAAAGGCAGTCCCCTCCTGTGCTATCCTGAGTCCCCAAGTCCCTCATCATACTGCATGCTTCCAGGAAGAAACGGGTCACCTCAGCATCCTTCCGGAAGCACAGACCCAGTGGGACTGCCTCCAGCATCAGATACCGTGTTGGCCAGTATTTTGAGAGTGCAGAGGTGACAGCAGCCACAGGATAACCTTGAGCAAAGCAACCAGCCCCTCAGAGCACCAGGTCTCTATCTGTAAAATGGGCTAAAAACATGTCCACAGTCCATCCCTGATCTCACAGATAGAACTGATTAGGACAAATTTCTCCTCCCTTTCTCAAATAATAGCTGGTCTCTTTGAATCCCCACCACTAAGCTTCTATTTCATGAGCTCACACAGACACACACATACATTCACATAGGCACACTGGTACACATACACACAAACTGTTGGGAGAGCATTCTGTAACTATGTGTCTGATTGGTTTGAATAAAGCACTGTTGGCCAATAGGGAAACAAGATAGGTGGGACTAGGCGTCTAGGAGGATTCTGGGTATTGTAGTGAGGAGAGCCTTTGCCATGTGATTCCAGGGAAGAGGGAACGCAAGTCTGCATTCTTGGAAAGATAAGTCCTTATAAAAATATATATTGGTGACTATGGGTCAATAATTAAGTCAGAGCTAGCCAATGAGAAACAATAGCAAATGGCCAACAGCTTCATAATTAATATAGTGCCCTGTGTGCTATATGGGGGCTGAAACTGCAGCAGGGCCCAGGCGGCTGGTGGAGAAGACAACACGTTACAACAAACGCACTTTACACATATGCTTAATACATACAAATACACATACACTTTCATACGCACACACTAATACGCATATGCACACACAAGCATCTATTCATACACATTTATATAAATACTCCCATGATACACTAAAACACATAAGTCCTCTGCCTCTCTAATCTCAGATACTTCTCCAAAGTCAGCTGGGTCCAGGAAATGTTATACCCAAAGATGTTCAAGAACCTGCCTCAAAATTCCCTGACCTCACCGTGCTAACTCCCACCTCTGCAGAGACCCTATGGTGCCTGCTTTGTGGTCCAGGCAACGTTTTCCAAGCAGGGAGAGCTAATCCCAGGAACTAGAACTTTCAGTGTCGTGCAAGCCGTTGTGACCGCCCTCTCCTCAGACATGCAGGAGAGAAAGCTGGTCACCAGGATGCGTCATTACATAAAGAGTAAAGCAGTGATAATCTACTATCTAAGTGTGTATAGACCTACAATCCCATGCGTTCGATTTCACTTAATTTTCACAAGAACTATGAGGTGCACTGCATTTCTCAACCCATCTCCACAAGGGAGCTTCTGACACCACCGTGAATCGGGAGAATGCCGGATATTGAGTTAGATGTCCTATCCAACCACTGCTCCATTGATGCCAACATCCCAATCCTTAAACAGAGGGGGAAGAGAAAGTGGGGAGAAATGAATAAATGTCAATGAGGAGAAACAGAGCAGACAACAGCAAATCAGGCAGAGGAAGGCACCAAGACGAGAATGTGCGTGTGCTTATGTGAGAGTGTACAGGTGTTAGCATGTGCACTTGACCATACATGCCTTCGCATATGATTGTGCACGTGTGTATGTGTACATATGGAATCTTTGCCTGTTTCGCTGAGACTGCCTCTGGCTCCTGAGTCAGCACTGCTTGGGGTTAACCGTGCAGGCAAATGCACGGGATTTCCAGTAAAGCCCATCCCAGGCCCTACCTCCCACTTCCATCCTTCATGAAAACCGTCAGACGGAAGCTTCTCTCTCGCAGTGGAGTAGAGAGCGAGGCTGCTGTGGCTCTTACTCCTGCGGCAGCCCTGCTGCCTCCACGTGCCCACCTCTCCTCCTGTATGGGCTCCCATCCTCCCTTCAACACTGGCATCTTTCCCAGGGCCGAGGTCAGGCCTCCGAGTCTCGTCCATCTCCAGCTGGATCAAGTCCCCTCGCTCCTGTGCCTCCCCGACGGCCACCACAGATGTGGGAGCTCATCTCTAAGACCCCCGCACCGCAGCCACAGAGTTCTGTGGGTGAGAAGCCCGACCCCTCACACAGCGCCTTCTCCCTTCTCCCCTGTGCCTCTGCACCGAGCGCCCCTTCTCCCCTGCACCGAGCGCCCCTTCTCACCTGCGCCTCGGCACCGCACCGAGTGCCCCTTCTCCCCTGCGCCTCTGCACAGAGCGCCCCTTCTCCTCTGCACCGAGTGCCCCTTCTCACCTGGGCCTCTGCACAGAGCGCCCCTTCTCCCCTGCACCTCGGCACAGAGCGCCCCTTCTCCCCTGCACCAAGCGCCCCTTCTCACCTGCACCTCTGCAGGGAGCGCCTGTGGCCTCGCTCCCTGTGCAGCTGTTTTCTGGGCAGGTTGGAACTTTCCCTTCCCCTTCTCCTCCCACAGAAGCCAGCTGCCCTAGGCAGTGGTGGATCTGTGCAGTCCTTTGTTCCTTGCTCTGCCCCTCACATGAAAAGACTCCTTGTCGTCTCGGGCTGTCCTCAATGGCCCTAGTTCATCCTGGCCTCTCCATCCCGACGTTCTTTAGGGCTGCTCGTCACTCCATCATTGTGTGTGCTCCACTAAAAGGCTTCTCTTACCATCCTTGGCTCCTTCCACTCCGTCCACAAGGCCCCCTCTGAACTGCACAAACGTGGTTCAGAACCACTCCGCGCTCTCCCGCCCCCCACAATAGATGGAATTCCAAGACCCTCCCACCATTCTTAGAGAGCTCGGATGGTATGATGATCCTTCCTGACACCAGAGTCTCCAAATCACCAAGGTAGATCTTACCATGGCCCATCTTTCCTGCCATGTTCTATACGTCTCCCTGTAGCTCCTATCCATCTCCCCAGCTGCCAATCAGGGCACTGCTATTGACAACATAGACAGTGCTGCATTCTGAGAGATCCATCTGTTTCCAGTCTCACTGCTCATGCCTGACTCATCGTTGCAATGTCTGACAGACTCTGGTCACCTTCTCCCGGATAACCTTGCTGTCCCAGCTACTGTGGAGCCCTCCATTCACATCGTCAAGGCCAAGCGCCTGGGCTCCAGGGGCAGAAGACCTGGATCCCATCCTTCTCGGCCATTATCCACACTAGAACCTCTGTTTTCCCATCTGTAAAAGGGAGCATTTTGGTCACTCTACCTCACTGGATTGTCCTAAAGATTGGTCAGGTCGGTATGTCTAAAGTGCCAGCACCCATGTCGTCATGCTGATCACAAAGGGACAGTCACCTCATCGCCGCCTTTCCATGATCTGTGAGCTCCAGTAAACCAGCATGCGGTGGTGCTGAATGAATAAGCACATAGCTGGGGAATTTCTTCCTTTTTTGTTCTGTTTACAGACAGTAAGATTCTTGTTAAACATCAGGATGCCTGAGTTCTGAAAGCCCTCTTAACACTGTATCAATTCATGTGGATCCGAGCCACCGCTGACAAGCTAGTGCTGCCCCACGACACCATAGACCCTGCTAGACTGTCTCCCGTGCTTGCTTTTCTTCCCGGCTGAAACTAAACATGGCATAAAACACCCACAGTGTACCTAGTCTTTTGGTGTCCCTAGTCTCTGGAGTCTTCCCAGATCCTTTTGGAAGACTCCGGAATGTAATCATGCTTTAAAATCTTCTGTATAAGAACAGTGAGTTTTCCTGTGGGGAATGTTCATGTTTCTAGGCATCTCCTAGCTCTGGGGCATTAGAAACACTGGGAAAATAAAAAACTTTCCAGGCTTTCTTAAAGAGATGAGGGCTCCTAGCCAGCTCCTAGAGGTTTCCATGTCCAGCTAAAGCTCCAGTCTTCTAGAGCAATGCTATTTGAACTCAAGCAAAGTCAGTTCCCAGGACTTCAGTGAGGCTAGGCTTAGTGCCAACCAGGCTTGGCTATGTGGACCCCCATAGAGGTAGGTGGCATACTCTCACCCCCCCCCATCCCCAGGAATCTTCAGAAACAGAGCCAATGAACTAAGAGGATAAAAAATAGTGCTTCATAGAGGCTCTACTATGGAATTCAGGGGTAGCTATGGCCAAGGATGGCCAGAGCAAGGAGCCGCACTCCAATAAACATCAACTGGCCAACAAGTAGTGTTATCCCGGGAGGCACTTCAGCTGGAACCTATGGGGTTGAATTAGCCCTAAGGATTCAGATTCCTTGCAGCCTAGCCACAGGGCGCATGACCCAAGACAACTGCTCACGTTAGTTGCCCTATAAATAAAACTAGAATGGTGATTTTTACTTAGGGTGCTTCTAATTGGATGAAACAGTGGTGTGTGTAAGATCTCAATAAATGAAGCTCTTGTTCCTGGTACTATCAGAAAGGAAGAGCAGATGCCCTGTCCTAGGCAGGGTTTCACCTCCAGGACAGCATCACAGGATCAAGTACATGGCTTATCTACCGGGCTGTTCAACAGAGACCCTTTTATACTGGAGCAGTAGCATTGTCTAAAGGGAGAAGGGGCAGTGACATTTTTACAAATGACACGGACCGTGAAACGAAGGAAAATACAAGTTAAAACACGACACTCAAGACTTTGCTTCACATACTTTCCTAATGGCTTATCTGTTTTTAAATGTAAGTTGCCAAACAAAACTGCCATGTGATTCTAAATCAGCTGAAAAGCCTCCCTTTCACCACTGCCGTGGCCAGTCGTGACTCACTGGAGTCAGTGGTTGGATGACTCACAAGACAATTGGACTCTCCATACAGAACACAGCCTCGCAAGCCACCGCTCCCGGCACAAGCTTATCAACTGTGCAGAACTCTTTAGTACAACCTTGCCGGCTCTTCCCTAACCACACAGTGCTCGCCGACCAGACTCCACTTCTCGCAGTTTTGTGTGGCTTGCTTATTGCCAATCTTCATTTTCTGCATCAGTGAAAAGCTAAATGCAGAATTATCATCAGAGGCACAACGAACTACAAGGTCAGCTTAAATTGTTTCTAAGAAGCCAAGGCTGCACACTTTAACTGGTAATTAACATCTTTGGAAACACGCAAGTTAGTGTACGCTTTGCATGAGCTTTTGAATATAAAAGCATATCATAAATAGCAGTAAACACGAAATTGTATCTTCGCCAAGACTAAATCTTTAGCAAAGCAGTAAAAATGGCTTTGGTATGCATGCTGTACTTGATTCCCTAGCAATTTAAGCAGGCTGGCTTTCCTAGATTTCTTCTGACTAAAATGTATCTAAGGTAACCTTTAAGGGTAGCATGAATTTTTTTTTCACATCTGTCCTTCTACCTTGTGTAGACACAACACATCCAGCCCTGGGTTCCCATTGTCTTCTTAGAATCCAGCCCGGAACACTACTACCCCCCCCCCCGCCCCAGAACCTGACGAGCACAGCTAGCCCAAAATGCACGCATGGTTGGCGCTGCCCCCTCAATGCTACTGCAAGGATCTGCTTTCCTGGTGTGCTGTCTGTGCCTATTAGGGAAGAAAATGATGTCAAGGAAGGAACACAGCATCTTATCAAAACCAGGCATTTTCTCTTTGTCTGTCCTGAAAACTCTCATAGTTTCCACAGCAGGCATTGAGTTACGTTTGAAGACTTTTGTAAATATCTGTTGGGGAACACATCTGGGGTCGGGTCATGGTTCTTACCATGGCACTCAGCGCAAACCCTGCTGGAAAAAATAGAGTATAGGGAAATGCAGGAAAGCGTGAAATAAAGAGCTTCAGCACACACACACACACACACACACACACACACACACACACACAGAGAGAGAGAGGGGGGGGGGGATTAATCTAGGAGAAAGACCAGACAGAATTTTGTGCAGAAAAGAAGGGGCAGTAAAAGAAAAGGGAGGAAGATTTTTTTTAAAAGGAAATGAAAGCGGGAGTGCGAGGAGGAATCCCCAAGAAAAAAGAAAGTGACAGGAGAGACACAGGAAGAGACAAGAGGAAGGGCCCCAGAGAGTGGTCTGGAGGAAAATGTAGGAACTAGCCACAGAGGGGAGGGAATTCCCGCCCTCACTGCTAAGGCAGACTTGAGAATTCTGCCCCGGGAAAAGACCACGGGAAGGAGAAGCATTTCGTGGCCCTCTCCCGCTGGCGAGTCGTCCAGTAGGACGACAGGGCGCATCTCACCTGGGCTCTCTGCAGCATCAGCGAGGCAGGCGGGTACCAGCTGCTGGATGGACAGCCTGCACTGCCGAACTTGGCACCAGAACCCATGGGAGTGCAGGCCCCGCCTCGGGGGCGGGTCCTTCAGGTCCCTACCCACAGGGACCCCACCCCTGGCCCTTCTAAGCTGAGGAGGCACCAAGGGGCTAGGTCCCAGAGCTCCACTCCCCAGGCCTCTCCCTCCTTGCTCACAGGCTCCGGGAGGCTGACAGACAGCCAAAAGCTCCAGGTTCAGTCCTGCTGTGTTTGGATGTCCTCTGTCACCTCCGAGCTGTTGCACAGAGCACTCCAGCGTCCAGGCTCTTGAATCCTCCTGGCGCTGCCTGTGGTGAAAGCTTGGTGGCTCACATCCTGCCTTCGGTGCTCAAGGACCCCTGTCTGCTCCCAAATCGCTTTCCCTTGACCTCCAGAAAAGCCTCCTGAGCTGCAGATTCACAGCACCTTCCTAGACTTCACTCAGCAGCCACTGCTTCCCTGCCTTCCAAGATGTGGACAGCAGCTGGCAGCCATCAATCAGCAAGGGGCCCCCAAATAACTCCCCTGGAAGGAGGGAGGAAAGAAGGGTGCTGTGAGCAAGGTGCCTGAGAATGGGTGCCCCTAAGGCCATGTCCTGCAGGCCCAGGGATCTTCCAGGGAAGATGGGGTAGAGTGGGGACAGGGGGGCCCTTGACCCAATTGCAGCACTCTCCTGTGTGGGGGCCCTGATGTTTGAACCTGGGTTGCTAACCATCTTGAAGCGGGTAGGAAAAGGAGACAGAAAACCTGCCCAAATGTCCCGTGTCCATCTCCTGCCCATCCTTCCCCCACCCATCTTCCCCCTCCCCCCTTGTCTCCCTCATTCATTGACACAATTGTTCTGAAGCCACCAGGGACCCAGCAAGCACAGAGACAAACAGAGGACTCTCAGGAGTCTTTCACCAGGGTTGGAGGAAATCTGCTACCAAAGTACATAGGAGATGGGTAAGGTTGGAGCTGCATGTCCCTCAGAATCGGGGTCTTAGTCACCGCTCTGCTGTTGTGAAGAGACACCATGACCATGGCAACTCTTGTAAAAGAAGGCGTTCAATTAGGGCCTGCCTACAGCTTCAGAGGCTTAGCCCACGATTCCCACGGTGGGGAACATGGCATTGTGAAGGCAGGCGCCAGGGCAGAGGCTGAGCACTGCGTCCTGGTCCACGGGCAGAGAGAGGGAGACCCTGGCTTGGCATGGGCTTTTGAAACCCCAAAGCCCATCCCCAGCAACGCACTTCCTCCAACAAGGCCATCCCTCCTAATCCTTCTAATATTTTCTAATAGTGCTACTCCCTAATGAGACTATGATCCTGTGGGGGAGGGGCATTCTTATTTAAACCACCAGGTTATGCTCCCACTGCAAATAAATTGTTAATAGAAAGGGGAACAACAATTAGACACTGGACAGGAGGTCCAAGCACCCACACAGGCAATTGCCAAGGTCAGAGAAACACATTTTAGAAGACCCTAAGCTCAAAACATGGGTTCCCCGGGGAACGCTGTCAAATAGCCACACAGTGTGCGCTCGCTCATGGATATCAGGCTGTAAGGTCTTTGGGTGCCTTGGAAAACAATGTGTACATTTAGTGTCCACCTGTACTCACTCAGGAGTAAGCACAAAGTGAAGACATGTTCAGAGCTGCAAAGCCAACACCAGTGTTGGAGAAAAAGCTAGGGAGTACGAAGGAGCTGAAAATATACTAGGCTGGGTGAATAGTGCATATTAGCTCTGATTTGGAAAATTCTTTGAAAAGGAAGGAGGAGAGGAAAGGGGACTGGGGAAGGAGACACAGAGTACTGGCTGCAAGAAGTTTTGGCTAGGACAGATGGGGAATCTAAAGTTACTCCCATGGGCCTGCTTCCAGAGACCTGGGCCTAGCCATTGGCTAGAAGCAGCTCCTTGATGGGGATATGTCATAGAGTGAGAGGATGGGGTAGATTCTAGTAATATTCACACACACGGGGTCGGGGGAGATCTGAACGGTGATGCTGAATGACACACATTCCACATACAGAGGGGGATTGCATGGTGACACTGAATCACACACATTCACAAAGGGGAATCTGAATGGTGACATTAAATCACACACACACACACACACACACACACGCACACACGCACACACAGAGGGGAGATCCAGATGGTGACATTGAATGACACACTCATAGTGGCAGGTAAAACTCATGTTGTCAAGCTGCACACATTTAGAAGAGACATACCAAATAAGAACAAGCAAAACTAGAACAAGGGGTCATAAAAGATATCTAGGGCAGTGATGATGGGCATGACGGAGAGAAACAGTCTTCAACTGGAAACTGTTCTTAGGGATTTAGAGAACGAGTTCCTAATGAAAGGGCTTCATTAGCCAAGGAAACAACAAACATTCTAAATGTGCACGCATCTATAATTAAAGAAAATGATATTTAGAAAGGGGTTTTTGTCAAATCCCTGGTTACACTGAGGCACTTCAATATAACATGCCAAAATTTAGAAGATTTGAACAGCAGGACAATTACTAGGCTCTGTTCAATGGTGCTCCCCCCAATTATGTGTTAAGATAAATTTCTCCCAAAAAACCTTAAAAGAAACAGTACAAATCAGGTTCTCTGATCACAATGCAATTAACGTGGAAATCAGTGGCAAACAGAGTGTTAAACACACACACACACACACACACACACGAAAGCTTTAAGCCACACATACAGTTAGGTGTCTTGGGAGAAATGACTCAAAATAACAAACATCAAAAATTTAAATATTCTGTGAAGGAAGATACGGGATTTGTGACCCAAAAAGTTTATATTAACTGGAAGGGGGAGAAATAAGTGAGCTAGAAATCTAACCAAATATATTAGAAAATAAATAACAAAGTAAATCTGAACAAAATGAAAAGAAGTGATTTAAGAAGAAGCATATATGTTAAATGGAAACATAAACAGTAGATCTTTACAGCCTTGGCTCCAGAAGTTTCTATCATGGCAAAGATACTGACACCAGTGGACTCAGGGCGGAAGCCATGTCAGATCACCAAGACCCCCATTTTGTCGTGGACAAGCCAATACCCGCCCAGTTCAGCCTCCAAGTGACTAGCATTTTAATAAAGGAGAGACTAGTTTTCTCCTAGTCACTGTGCTATCACAGAAGCTCAGGGACCACCAGTTTGTGCAGAAGAACAGGCCAGGCCATTGTGATCAGAGCCCAGAACACAGTCCTCTGTGGCTGACTTGCTTCCTGAAGGCAAGGAGGCCACTGTAGGTCTTCTGGGTGCTGTACCAGTGTCTTGGCCCCATCTGGGTCTTTGAATACTGCTCAGCCCACTGACTGCTAGAGACTGCCTTCTCAGCCCCTGGGCAGCCCAGCAGGGCCTATGCAGAGATTGATACTGCTAATGTGGCTTCTCCCTACTCTTCAGAGAGCCTTGCCTTTGCTGCCCTGAGCATTTGGTTGCTTCCTGTCCTAAGAGGAGCCTAATCTGTGTAGGTATAGAGCTGAGTAGGCTGGACTGACCCTCGGGCCCTTTCTGACTGTCAAGGGACTGGATTTGAAAGAGTATCCTGGATTCCTTCCTTCCTGTGCAAGCTGAACCACAGAGGCAGTGCGGCCAATAGAAGGTTAAGGAAGTCCTGGCTGGTCTCTGAGTGCTTACCTGTCAGCATCCTTCCAACATCTCAGGCTGTTAGTGTCCCCTGGCAGGGTGAACCATGATGCCCAAGGCGTCTGTTGGTGACAAGACAGAGGATTTCTGGTCGAGGCTCTTTCTGGGACGCCTGGTGTACCTTCTCTCAACTTTCCCCTTCTTATTGGAAATCATGGTCCTAGGCTTCGGCTCCCAATTTACGCAGCCCAGCAATCCTCCCTCCAAAAGAGAATTCTGTCTGCTGCTTAGTCCAGGGACAAATATCCGAGAGGCCTGACAGAACTTCGCTCACTGATGGCTAAGCTGGCACAGGTGCCTCTTTGGGCCAATTCTTCCAGAAAGTGCCTGTGAGGCCAAAGGACACCCTCAATGGCCACCCTGTTACCATCTGTGTCTTACCTTCTCCCAAGGAAGCCTGCTATGAGGTCCAGTGGTGCTAAGCCATACCCTGGGGTGGACGGAAGGGGTGACAAGGAAATAATGCTATCTGCAAAAGAGGTCTAAGATAGTTACTGAATGTAGAAATGACTTACAGGGAGACGGGAGCTCCGGGAACATGGCAGGCTTCCAAGAGAGAGAGCGTTTTCTTTCCCTTTCCTTTTATGTCCCACCCGTCCCTCGCACCCCTGCCCATGCCTCTTGGGCTCACCCCTACAAAGGAGTGTTGACCTATGTGAAGATATTGACCATGTTGACCCAGCTTAAGAGCCACAGCCTTTTCTGTCAGCTCCTGTGTGTCCAGCAGCCGGGTAGTCACGTGGAAACGATGGGCAGGCTGGATGGTTGAGCGCTTCACACAAGGCACAGCTCCCATGGAGCACATTTGATACTGACAAAGGCACAGTAGAGATGTGTCTCCTCCAGATAGTCCTCTAAAATCTGCTGGACTTGGGGATGGCCTGGCGGGTCTGGAGAGAGAAGTCTTGGTGCTGAAGTAGCATTGCCTCCCTCCAGGACATGTAAGATAGGAGTAGCCTAAAACTAGGGACCAGGGTCCCAGGCCTCAATAGATGAGACATTCAAAAGCTTTCCTTTATAAATATTGAAGGAAAGGGACTAAGCTAGTCTTTGTAACTCAAAAGCTGGGAGGAAGAGGGTTTTACAGAAATGTTTTCCCTTTTGAGGCAGATAAAGACAGAGATGTCAGAAATCATAGTGGCCTTTGTCCAGTCACAGGATGCTAGAGAGCCCTGTTCTGGCAGGTGCAGCAGATGACAGATTTGTTAATGAGTAACATGCTCCAGTCTAGTATTTCCTTTATTAAAATGCTAGCCCTGATACCCAGAATACAGCAGGAAAGACTTCCCAGTCTTGGCTCCGTGGCACCTGAGAGGTTCCCTACATAGGCGGGAGTGACAGGTGGGCTCTGGGAACACAGGAGGGAGGGGTGAGCAGCTGCAACCTGGATGGGTGCCTGGAGCAGCTGCTTAGGAACTGGTGGCTCTGAGAGCAGGAGACTAGAGGCAGATGCTCTCGGCTTGGTGGCAGGCTGACCCTGGGGCTGCAGGGGTCCTGAGCACAGAGAGCCTTCAGGAAGGCAATGTTGGTGCACCGCCCCTGCAGGAAAGAGGAGAGACAGAACAATGAGGTAGCACTGCAGCCAGGCCCTGAAACCTGGTGGTAGGAAGCACCACAGACCCACAGGGTAGGTTGGGATGGCCTCTCTTCTCCCCTGGGTCCTAGAGTCCCACTGTCACTCTCCTTCCAGATCTGGTGCAGGTAGCAGGAGTCTGGATGGTGTGGAAACCAGGAAAGACCCTCACATTCCGGCCTTGACAAACTTTGTCTTTTGAGCCCTACCCAGAAAAAGGGTTTCTGTGAATGCGATCCAGGATATGAGTATGGGGAGCCATGCTAGAGACATAAGAGGAGCATATGCAAACTCCAGCAAGAGACAACACCAGGGCTGATACGGGCAGGGAACTACTGGAAGACTCTGCCTTGCTGGCTTTGTAGGTAGAGACAGGGCCTGGCACTATGGAAGCCTGGGTCTTCCTCTCCAAAGGTCACGAAGGCAAGGAAATGGGCTCTCCCACAACCTCAGTAAGGACGGGTTCTTGGAAACAGCTTGATTTTAGCTCATGGAAGTCATTCCACACTTCAGTGTGCAAAGTCTGTGACCAGCCCAGGGGGCCGCACACGCTCTGGTGCAGGAAATAGGGGTGCATTCGGGACTAAGGGAGGCTGAACCTTCCAAGGGGAAGGACTCTGTTTTCTCACGCAGCAGATGCAAGGAAGCCAGATGGGGGATAAGCAGGTGCTTCTCAGTGCACACGCCTCTCAACGCAGAGGACTCTGTCTCACTCTATGCCTATGCCCACTGGGCACAGTCCTGGGATTGACCCCTGCCCATCACCACATGCTCCAACCTGGAAGCCCTGAATCATACAGACTTCACTCACAACATGTCTGCCTGTGCGCCCCTCCGCCAGCTTTTTGTGCCCAGATGACTGTCTGAAGAGTCGTTATTGGGTCTTTTACAAAAGCCTTCCATGTCATTCACTCTAAGCCAGACCAGAGGGGCTGCTTCTAAACCTATCTGCGGTCTGCTGTCTGTAATTCAGCTCTTATGGGGGTCAGCAAAAGCAAATGCTGTCAAGTAACCCAACATCATTTACCCTCTTCATAATAGCAAAAAAAAAGCAAATGCTGTCAAGTAACTCTACGTCATCTGCCCTCTCTAAGAGAGCAGGTGGATTTTCAGAGGAGTGCAAGGTGTCCAGCTAGGAAGGCACGTGTCCCAATGTGGCCATGGGAGTGAGCTCAGCAAGGGGGATGCAGGCAGGAATTGTTGGGCAGGGTTTTCAACAAGCCCCTTTGCACTCTTCCCCTCTCTTTCTTCCCGGGATGCTGTGTGTTTATCAGAGCATGAGGAGGCACTGTGTAAGGGTGAAATACTTCATGAATCTTATCAACTAAAGAACTGTTTGGTCTACATGTGTGAATCCACTTAGATAAAACCTCTTGGTTTTTGTTTTGTTTTGGTTCGTTTGTTTATTAAGACAGGGTACTTCTGTGTAGCCCTGGAAGTTCTGGAACTTGCTCTGCAGACCAGCTTGGCCTTGAACTCAGGTATCCTCCTGCCTCTGCCTCCTGAGTGCTGGGATTAAAGGTGTGTGCCACCTGACTCTCTTTGGTAGTCTTAGTGCATTTTATAACCCAGCTTAGAGACCTCACACAAATACCCACAGGAGCCTCTATTTACTTCCTCAGACCTTGCACTCTGCCGTACGAATGTCAAGGACCTTGGACTGAAGAAGGCAAATATCCCTCTTTCCTCCGGGCTCAGGAGAGGATTCACACCCCACTCTACCAACCACTGTTGTGCAGACAATCAACTGGTCACCCGGAGCCCAGGAAGCACTATTAGGACAAGCCAGACCTGAAGTAACCCTGTAAGAGTGACCTTAGTCTTAGTGACATCCCCTGCACCCACACAAAAGCTGGGAACACCCGCCTGTGTTCTTAACCCCAGTACTGAGCAAGGCATAAACAGAGTCCGTGGGGTCACTGACAAAGCAGTCTAGTAGAAGCATCAAGTTTCAGGTTTAATAAGACACCCTGTCTCAAAACTTAACAGGAGAACAATTGAAGAAGACATGCATTGTTGACTTCTGACCTACATTCACACACATGCACGGGCAAGAATACCTACTTAACACATGTGTATGTACACACACACACACACACACACACACACACACACACGAAGTACCTTTACTGCCTGATAAGTGGGGTCACTATTGTTCAGACACTACTGTCAACCATGGCCCAAGTAACCAACCACTGACTTCCCGGTGGCTCTAGGAGGCTCATGAGTATCAGGTCTCGAGTCTTGGGAACTCTTCCTCAGCTCCTTCTGGGACTTGGTTCTGAGCCACAAAAAGCAGCCATCACAGGAAAAATCATTTGCCATTCTGTCCCTTTGGAACGGTCTTGGGGGCCACTCACCTGGTCACCAGAATGAGGCCACATCAATGGCAACCGGTGGCAGCATAGGGGGTTGAAGTTGCACACAGTCACATTGCCCTGAAAACAGACACAGGATCACGAGGAAGAAGGAGGCATGGACTCTGCCCCGGAACCCATAAGGATCCTCGTTCTAAGACACCATGCTCAAGGAATTCTGAGGAGGAGTCCACGTGTGCTACTGGAGAGAGGAGCCTACAACCTTGAGTGCCTGGGATTGTCACTGTGGGGTACAATTTAAGAATCTGGGATGAGACAAAGCAGTGTTTCTGTGGGGAGAGAAGCCAGCAGCTGACTTTTGAGAAGTTTAGTGGCCGGAGGGGTGTGTGGTGGCAAGTAGAGGCCTTTAGGGGAGTCACCATGTGGTCACGGACCTGGAGAGGGGACACGCAGGAGAGGCAGGTAAGCAGCATTTGTCCCGCTCAGTGGCAGGTGACACGGACCAGGGCAGAAGCATAGAGAGCAGAAGAGCATTAGCTCCAGGGGTTGGGAACCCCACAGCCTCATCTCTAAAGTTCACACTCAACAGGACTGGTGTGGTGGGTGGGGCCAGGCCCTGTATGCCAGGCTAGGCCTGTGGCCAATAGCCCCCTCTTCCTCCAGAGAACTTCTGTGGCCTTCTCCTCATGCCATAGGCAGGAGGAAGGCAGGGCCGGGTCTCAGCTAGTACGGGAGGCTGCAAAGGGACTCCAAGTTTCCATAAGGAAGCAGGGACCATCACAGCGGCAGGACCAAGGAAGAAGAGGACTAATACAAGAGGAAAACAGACAGGAGCCCAGGCTGCTGCCAGGCCAGCTTTCCTCCTTCAGACCTGGACCTCCTAGATGATAGAAGGCTTTGGCTGTCTGCCCCCCAGAGCTCAACTCTATGTCGGTTTTTTTGTGACAACCTATAACTCTTTGCTCTCTCTTGGCAGTAGAACCACGTAGTCAACTCCAAAGAAATTGGAGCTGGTTGATCAGAGGCACTGACCTTCTTCTGTGTTTAGGCAAATGTGTTTAGGGACTGTCTTTCTTTTTATTGTCCCTAGATTTACAAACCTCTTTGTCATTCAGTCTATCTTGACTTATCCACCTGTTTCAGAGACACTGTCAGAGATAAGAAAATGCCACTGAGGATAAGGGACTGGCCAGATAAGGCGATAGCCACTGTCCTGTTGTTTGAATTTTCTTTGGTCACCAACCGGCTCCCAAATAACAACATAGAAACTTCTTATTAATTATGAAAGCTCAGCCTTCAGCTTATGCTTGTCTCACTAGTTCTTATAACTTAATTTAACCTGTTTGTCTTCATCTACATTTTGCCTTGGAGCTTTTTACCTTTCTTTCATTCTGTAGTCCTAATTTCCAGTTTTCTCTGTGGCTGGCGGGCTGCCCCTGGCATCTCCCTGTTTTTCCCTTCTCTCCCTGTTTCTGTCAAACCTAGATTCCTCCTCTTACTTAATCTCTTTGCCAGGAAGTCCTTCTTCTACTCACTGCCTTGCTATTGGCCATTTAGCTTCTTATTGGACCAATCATGTGCCTTGGCAGACAAGGTAAACAAATGCAACACATTTACATAGTTAAACAGCTCATCTTTACATAGTTAAACCAACATCCCGTAAGCAGATGTAACACATCTTTACATAGTTAGACTAACATTCCACAACACCGTCCCAAACCCAGGATGCTGCAAACGAGGAGGGCCTGAGCTGGAAGAGGACAAGTGCTCTGCCCCCCCCCGCACACTCTCCTCCCTAGGGACTGCATGTGGTTGTTCTCAGACACATATCAGTTCGGATCCTGTTCACGGGAGATGCACTCTCCCACACCCAGGCACCCACAGGGCCCCCTCACCTCCATGTCTCTGCTCACATACAGGCCACCACAGGTGCAGCAGCAGACGATGATAATGGGGGACGGAATTACAGGTGGTGCTGGTGCTGGTGCCGGGGGAGACACTGGAGCAGACGGTGGCTTCTTCTCTCTGGGCTGACAGGAGAGGAAATTCCTGTCTGTCCCTGTCTGTGCTTTGCACAGCGCTTGGCACTGTGAGGCCACTCAGCTATTGTTTTGGGGTGAATGGAAAGATGTATTCCACACCCGAGGGGCGTCTTCCACGGGAAGATGTAGGGAGAGATGCACCTGCAGCTTTAGCCACACCCCAACGGGCATGGCTACAGGTACATGAAGGAGAGGGGAATAAATAGAGAGAGGGCCGCCTGGCACTCTCCCCTTGGATGCTGGCCACGTTTCAGAGAGCTTCCTAGCTTCCCAGTTTCTCACGTAAGTTACTTCTATCTGAGTAAATAGTCTACTACCTTTTCCCGGCATTCTTAGTGTGACTCGTTGACCCCTCACAGGGAGAAAGGCAGAGCTCCCTCCCCACAGTTTTCAGATATGGAGCTTAATGAAATAACAGCAGCCCACTTCTGAGGCCAGCCTGGCTCTGGCGGAAGCCTGACCTGGTTGCTCTACAGTGAGCCAGCAGTAGCAGGTAACTGTCCCATCTGTCTCTGCCCTTTGAATAGGCATCCCCACCCACCCAGGTCACTGCTCCCATCCCATCCCAAACCCAGGCCCCACCTGCCCCGCCTCTCACTACGACTTCTGGTCCTCACCCAGTGTGAGCCCCAGATGCTCACCCACCTTGTTCCTGCACTTCCCTGGGGACATCCCTCACAGCTCAGGGCCACTGGGACTCTTTCATCCTCCCTATCCCTCAGGAGCCTAGGCTGATCCCAGCCAACCCCTCTACTCTGCCGGGAGATGGGGATGAAGACAGATCTAATAGAGTAAGAAGACCTCTAACACGGGGATGGGCCCGAGGACTTGACAGAGACGCCTGTTCTCAGGAGCCAAGCTGCAACCTCAGTATCAGAGTCCTTTGGGGCCCCCTGAAAGCCACGGAGTCAGTAGGAACAGCTGCTCACACTGAAACAGCTCTACAGGGTGCTTGCTGATCGTGTGGCCAAAGGCAGGAGGCCCTGAAAGTTTGAGTGGTGTCACCTTGAGCCCCTTCCTAGACCCTCTGAGACCCTCTGACCTTCTTCCTTCCTGAGTACAGGCAGGTGTTCGATGCCTGTTTGAAGGCTATTGTCCATAGGCATGTGACAGTGTCAGCATCCACAGCATGACTTACCTGTGGCTGGGGCTTAGGTGGGGGCAGCTCCTCGACAGGCTGGAAGGTAAAACAGACAAAAGAAGCTGGCTTGTACAGAATGGCTCTGCCTCAGCTCTGCAGACAGGGGCGCCTGATCTGGAGCAGGGGTGTACAGATCCTGCAATTGGTGTGGGTGCCCATGCCCGGGCTGCTGTGTGCTGCAGGCCACGCCTCATCTAGTAAGTCCCCACCCTTCTCTGCAGGTGGTGAGCGATGAGCTGGGTCCAGGTGCTGATCCTGGGGGAGCCCAGCAGCTGAATTACTGCATACCCGCCCTAGCCCCGCCCTAGCCCCTCCCACATCAGAGCCCACACCCCTTCCCTTCCTCTGAGAGAAGCTCAGTATCCTGCAGTCTTCCCTGGCCTCCACGCTGGTCTTGACTTTCTCTACTGTCCTCTGCTCCCCTGGATAGAGATGGGACCTGCCAGTTCTGTCATCCCCAAGATCATGGTGCCACCCTGTGTCTACGCTTCTTGGGTGGAGGGTATGTTCCTGGGTCCCAGACTGAGCAGGTAGGGGTACTCACCGGAAGACAGCACAGCTGCCAGAAACAACCAATCAACAACAGAGTCAGCAGCAGGGCCAGGAGTATAGGGGCAAAAATGAACTTATCGCTGCTGGGCTTCAGTTCCTCTGTGACCAAAGGGGTGGTAGGTTTGGTGGTGGGGCTTTCAGTGGTCGTCGGCAGAGTGGTCGTGGTCGGCGTGGTTGTGGTCGTGGTAGGTGTGGTTGTGGTCGTGGTAGGTGTGGTTGTGGTGGTAGATGGGGTTGTGGTAGTAGTCGTAGTCGTAGTTGTAGTTGTAGTTGTGGTCGTCCTACGTGTTGTTGTAGTTGTGGGCCTCCTTGTGGTTGTGGTTGTAGTTGTAGTTGTGGTGGTGGTTTTGGTTGTGTGCAGGACTGCACCCTGTGGTAGGGAAAGGTTACATGCTACCGCCTCCAGGAGTACGTCCTGCAGAGACCTAGGGCAACTGTGCAAGGCCCTCCCTGGTATCTGCAGCTTGGCTTCTCATTCTCTATTCTAATTCTCGGACTTCTTGGAACTGATGGATCACAAGGGGCTCCTGCCTCTGGCCCTGCTCCAAGTCTTTTGCCAAAGTAAGGTTGGTCCAGGATCCTCTGTGGTCAAAGGATCATGGCCTTCACTATGGCCTCAGCTGAAGGTGCACTAGGTATGGGTGACTAAGTCACTGGGAGAGGCTGCATCTCTGAGATTGGCAGGGCCACAAGACTAAGACCTCTCTGCCCACCTCCTAACTCCCCAGCCTGGTGCTCAACCTTGCTTCCTCTGAGCCACATCTTGTGACCTAAGCAATGCCCGCCTTCATGGGCACTTGGCAAGGTCAGAGTTCTCAGCTGCCTCTGGCTCAGGCTCAGACCACAGAACTTGAGGAATGGGAACTACTCTCCCAATCTGAGAGTGGGCTGCAGCCTGTCCAACACTCCTGAGTCAGAGGCTGTAGAAATCACTGGAGGAGGTGCCTGGGGCCCACGATCGCCTGCCCGAAAGCAGAGACCGCTTGGACGATGTAATGATAGCTGCTGCTGGGCACTGAAGACATGGGGCTTCTCTGCCTCGGGGCTTATGTCTGGCAATGTTAGTGGGGGTGAGTGATGAAGGAGCAGAAACGAGTTTTCCCACCCATCCTGAGTGTGGATATGAGGAATGAGCCAGGCAAACCCAGAGACGCCACTCAGCTCTGTGGACTTCTTATGAGCCAAGAGAAACCTTTCATGTACACACTCTTCAGTCACATTGCGCTGGTCTCTGGTGTCACCAAACGTGATTGAGGGTAGGGGGCATAGAGTGTGTGTGGGGCCACAATAGTGGCCATGGCTCCAATTCTTTGTCACACATACCCTGTCTGCCAGAGTGGACTTCCATATTCCTGGACCTGGGACACCCGTGTGGAAGGGCCACACACCCTAGACAACATGGAAAGACCCTGGAAGAAAGCTTGGTTCATGCCTTACTGACCCTTCCGGAAACTAGGCTGGCTCACCTAAGTTGCTTGTGTGTGCAAAGCCGCCCTCGGGCCCTGCGTGGGACCCCTTTGCCCCTTTGCCCTACCAGGCAGATCTGCACCGACCCGAGGATCTGCACAGATGGGGTTGCGGCCCCACCCCGGTACTCACACATAGCTTGCTGGCAACGAATACGTTGTTATTCATGAAGTTTCTTCCATTGTCCAGGCTGAGTAGAACAGAGATCACTCTAACACAGAGACAGACACTGGTGACAAGGACCTTGGGCTTGGCTTAAGAAATAGCCTCAGTTCTTGTTGTGCTTATTACACTAAATTTCAGGCACTCTCAGCTGCTGGAGAGTGGACTTGTGCGCAAAGAGAGCTCATTTTCAGAGGACCTAGGAGTGAACCTCTTCAACGATAGTGACGGACTGCAGATTAGACCATGAGAGACACCTACATCACATGGCCTTTGAACAAAGGCATTGAGCTAAGGCATTAGGGAGAGGCGCCCGGTATCACCACACTGACTTGCACCAGAGAGATGATCAGAGAACATTCTGGTCATTAGTCCCATCACCTCCTGCATCCTGCCCTCACTGAGCCTGAGCACTGTGCACCACTCAGCACCGGGGAGGGACAGGTAGGAGGGTCCTGGAGCCTACCTGCAGGCAGACAGGTGCTCTACAGCAGAGGGGCCAGCTTATATGTCACACTATGCTGGCAAACACTGACCTCTTCCCTCCAACAAGGGCCACACTTACTTTCCTGGCAGCTCTACGATTGGTCCAGGACAAGTAACAGTAGTCTTGGTTAAATTGATGGCTTTTACATCTAAAAGAAAATGACAAAAGCACCAAGGATGTGTCCTTTCTACCATCGCCACACTCCTCCTGCAGAGCTGACCAATAAGCAGCAATCTCCTCCTTACCTTCTTCAATCCAAAAACTGCTGGCAGGCCCCAACTCTGCCCAGCACCCCAGCATCCGTAAAAGCAGGCAGCAAGAGCCCCTGCACCTCAGGGTTCACCTACTGGGGACTAAGATCACACACACACATGCACACATGCACACACGCACACACGCACACACGCGTGCACACACTCACGGGGTGGGTGAGGAGATTCCGCAAGTGAGAGAAAACATGTGCCATCTGTCTTTCTGGACCTCAAAAATTTTGCCTAACATCATGATCTCCTGAAAACTTATGTGATTTTGTTTTTATTTGTAGCTGATAGAAAAAAAACATTGTTTAGAATAAGTGCAGTGACAGTAAACAAGATGAAGGACTCAGACAGGGAAATGGGAGAAAAGGGAGTTTTTAAATAAGTAAAAGATAAATAAGTAGAGAGTAGAGAAGGAAATTAAGGACAAGGGAGAAGAAAATACTGTGAAATTAATAAAAAGAAATAAAATATCAAACAAAGTTCCCTAAAATGAGAAAATTTGAAAACACATTGACAATTAAGTGTAAGAAGGAAAGTAAAAATTAAACCATGAAGATATAAGTCATGAGGTTTTCAAAAAATGAAGTCAAAATATTACTAAAACTACAGTAGAAAGGGAAAATAGAAAAAAAAAGACTGTCCACCACCCAAGACACCTATAGGTCCCTAAGGGATTCTGAGTAGGAGGGTGAAGGAGTCTCCCAAGGGGCCTCCTATGTGATTATCCAGTGCCAAGAGCTCAGCCCTGGAATCATGGGCACATGCAACAGTGAATGGATTCAGCAAGTTGTATCTATGCATTTATAACAGTAGCAAAGAGGAGGAGTCCTGGAATTTGAGAGGAACAGGGCCTAGGGAGACAGGAGAAATTTGAAGAAGGAAAGGAAATGATTTAAAATGAGGACTATATTAAAAGGTTGTCCATGATAAAAATGTGTAAGAATTAGATGAATGTAGGGCACAGAATAAAGCATAGAAACAAGACTTTTCCTTGTATGTGATAAGCTTAAAGGAGCACTGGTAAAGTGCCATCAAAGGAGGTGGCATCCCAAGTATCTCATCCAGGGCAATGGTCACTTATCCATACTATTCCCGTGTCCAGCAGGACGGTCGACGAGGGGGGAGACCTTCTGAGAGACGTGACCCCACTTACCTTTGACACTCATATTCATGTCGCTTAAATAGAACCTGCAAATGACCTCCTCTTTACGCATGGCAAAGTCAAAGCCATGTCCACGAAGAACCACTGGTCTTGATTCTGCAAGGACAACATTTCCATTAGGAGAGCTGGTGCTTCCTTCCTTCTGATCTGCTCTCCACCCCCTAACATGGAATTTCCTGGTGGCCTCCTACAAGGGAGAGTCTCTGTGTGAACCAGCATCCATATTGGTCCCAGCTTGCTGGCAAGCCCTTCCTTGCAGCAGTAAGGACATGCACTGGCACGGATGCCTGTGTACAGGAGACACAGAGTAGGCAGCAGGCTGCCTCTCCCCACAGAAGCCAGGTAGGATTTCCTGAGCTTGTGACCTTGCCCAGATGCTTAAGGGCCTAGACCCAGCTCATCCGTATGCCTGTGTCCTAACACTTCAGACGCCCAAGGGTAGCTGACCAAGGACTCTCCTCCCTCTTCAGACTCCCTGGAACACAGGCTGACTCAGTGCTAGCCATAGGAAACAGCCCATTCTGCTTCATTTGGGACACAGCATCCTGCTTTGGTCTTCCCTCCAAACAGCGGACACTCTGTATGTGACAAGACGGCCAAAGGTTTAACGGGTCTGTGACTGAACTGATGTCTGGAGGCACCTGTCCCACTGGAGACAACTCATGTTTTCATCTGGGGTTTGTCACTTATTTCCAGACACCATGGCCTTTTTGTCCATGGGACAATTAGAAACACCAAGGAAGGCTGTATGACTGGGCTCCTTTACCCAGAAACAGAAGAGAGCTGTGAGAAAGGAGGCTTCTCCCTTCCACTCTTCCACACAGCAGTCTCCTCTCTCTTACACAACATGGGGAAGGACAAGGGACAGAGTAGGGCCAAGAACCAAAACAGAAATATCAGGCTCAGATTCTGTCATTAACACCTGCCATCTTCTAGATGCTGTCCCTGTCACCTCTCTATCCATGGTCCCTAATCTCACTGATGGCCTGTGCAGCCTGTGCACGCCATTTCCTTCCATCAGAGGATACACTGTAGCCCCTCTGATGAGCAGCCCTTTGTCCTCCTGAGGGCCATGGGTAGCAGAGCTCAGATGTGATCATTGTCCTGTCTGCCCAAGCCAAGAGCCATGATGTCAGGATCCAGCCGCCTAGACTGAAGGGAGCACAGCAACTCAGACCTCCCTGTCCTGCCTTCTTCTGCCGGACACAAATGCCAGTCACAAAAGTGGACACGAAGCCTGAATATACTATGATCCTGACCAAGAGAGGCAGCTCTCCCAAGACTGTACACACCTGTGACCTCTCTAAGCTGACCTGGGGAGGCTGGAATGGACAGATGTCACCCTTGTCAGTTTCAGTCCTCAGGGTCAAGCATCTACCAATTCAGTGCTGAGGTAAAGTGAACATGGCTGTCTTCATAGACATTTTTGTTGACACAGAGAGTCCCTTACGCTTCTAGTAACACAGTAGCTGTCCTCTGTTCCCAGTTCTTTCTCTTCATCTCTCAATGTGATTGCCACCAAGCTACTGTCCTCGTTTTGTGAGTGTGGAATGCTTGACTTCTCTGGAAGGAACCAAGCTTCTCTGAATGGACTGGTGGCTCCATATAGGTTTCATTGAAAGTTTTATACCCTTGTTCTAGCTTAACAATGACACTCTTGTTATGAGATAAATAAGCAAGTAACTGTACATGTATTTCTATGTCATCACAGCATGTACCTTCCAAATGTACATTACACTATACCCGAATCATAGTTATCCCATGCATGCTCATTGCCCACATATACACATACCATACTTATCCATATTCCAACATATATACAGTCTTTGTGTACACAATACCTTCAAATATGCACAACCCAAAATCTCTACATAAAAATACATTATATAATCAAAACACAAAACCCATAGACACAGAATTATACCATGTAAACCAAATGCACCAAAAAGTTTACACACCATCCAGAAATTGATATGCATGCCTACCACTCACACACCACAAACATATGTGCATGCAACACATTTGTCAGTGTACAACCGTGTCCTCAGCTCTTACCTCTGATACATATATGGGGGGTGTCTGTAGATTTAAGGGATGGACAGACCTTGGAAGCTATCTGGAACATAGAGATCAGTAAACAAGGTCAGAAAAGTAAGCTACAGGAATCCTGTGCTCGCCTCTGCCAATACCCAATGCACTCACTGGGAAAATGAGGTCCTTCAGGTATTCAGCTTTCTTATCTGTAAATGCATTTTCTGGATTTTCTGCAAGTCCTATTAGCTAAAAGAGAGAAGTGGCTTGAGCATCCAGCCAGGAGTCATTTGATTCCATCATTGCTCAGAGACTGGCTTCTGCCCACAGCCGAGGCTTTGGAAACAGTGAGCTCTCTCATCACCCTACCTGGGAAAAGAGTCTCAATCATGTTTGCCATCCTGCTGCAGTGGCTGGCCTTTGCCTACACCACCGGAGTAGACGAGATGACTACCTCTGGGAGAACTCACTTTAACCGGGGCTCAGAGGGGCATCCGGTCACCTGGACTATTACCTGCTTTCTCCTAGAGTGGCCCACACCCACACTGTATATAGTTGCTCCCAATTTCCGAGCATCATTAGCCTAAGAGGAACACAAGGGTTACATATAAGCCACCCGCATACACAGCGTGGAGGAGACGTGGCTGAAGATGGCTGGGCTCACCTCCACCAACGAGTACTTATAGTTATCATCATCCAGAGGGCTGTTGAGCAAGCAGATAATCAGGCTGGGACGCTGGACACCTGCAGGAAAGCAAGAGTGACTTGGTGCTTGAGTTTCCAGGAGAGGCCTGCAGAACCTCTGAGACCTCAACAGGCTGTCAAGCCCAGCACTATCTAATACAGGTCCAGTTTCCTCAACCCCTTAGCCATTTGGTTCAGGAGCCCAGACCCGGAACCCACCATTCAGCCGTCCCCAGAGTGAAAAGTAACTTTGTCCACTACCTGTTCTACAGATTAGGAGGCATAGGGGTCAAGAGCAGCCTACAGAGGTGGGTTTGGCCCCGTCACTGCTCAGCCTATCCTTGAGGCTGAGGGTGCCCGGTGAGGCAAAGGAAGCTGGTGCTAACTCTGGGTGCAGTCCTGGAGGTGTACTGTCAGTAACCCTGGGCCCAGTGATCAAGACTATAAGTCAGAAGGTGTTAGGCAAAGGGATCCACATGCTCGAAGCATCTTTCCCTACTTGCCCTACCAAACAAGTGCAGTGGTCCACACCCCGGACCATGAATGCTCACTGTGCCCTGCCCCTTGCACTGCCTAACACATGAGTGTAAGAGACGGGTCAAGAGAAAAAGAATTGAAAACCAGAGATCTGGCAGCCAAGGGGACACCGAGCCCTGGCTCCATGCATAGGTCACTGTGTTTTTCTCCTTTCTGTTCACAAGGCCATCTGTAGGCCAAAGATCTCAGCATGAGCGACACCCACACATAGCCATATGGGGCCTCCTGCCCTTCTCAGAAGCGTCACAGACAACGCTGTGCTCACGGAGGCTTGGGGCTCAGATGGACAAGCACTAGAAGAGGCCTGGAGATTTGCACTTCCCAAGGGAACCGAGGCTCTGTGGGGACCCACCCGACTAAAGCGCAGGCAGCTCACCTCCCGAGTTGACCTTTTTAATCTGATTATTTGCCTGCAAGGAAAGCAAAGAAAAATGGGAGACATTGTGAATTGACCCCACGGCACTGGATGCATATGGGACTCAAGCCCTCCACACCTTCCACAGTCCTCTGTAAACATGCTCATGTCCTGCGGGGATGCTATACTTCACTCTTCCAAGACCCTTGAGGATTTCTTCTCTGAAAAAAATCAAGAGTAAGGGTGACATGAAGACTATGGACAGTGACAAAACATCCCCAAGCTTTCTCTGCCTCTGGTCCCATGAGCACAGAGCCAGCTTAGGACAGGAGACGTTCTAGCGAGTGTCAGAGCCAAGGACTCTCATGAGGACCCACGATCGGAATTGGAACCCTGAAGCCAAGATCACCCTTCTAAGCACTCTGTTACTCAGTGGGCGGGGCTGAAGGGGCCTATGCCACCAGCTGAACCGCTGCCTGGCTCCCATCTCCACTGTCACACAGCCCTGGCATGACTCCCTCCTCCAGTCTGATGAAGGCAGCAGCTGGTCTACTTATACCCCAGGCCAACTGTGGACTCCTCAAGCTCCTGACAGAGAAACCTGAACCCTGGGAGTCGGCCCTGAGGGCTGTCCGTAACGCATCTCTGTTGGTCCCTGGGCTAGAAGCAGCACAGCCTGTCAGGTGCTGTTAAAAGAGAGAAAACACACTGAAGCAGGCAGGCCTGGGTCTGGTAGCTGTTCTGGGACAGGAAGTGGGGTATGAGGATAATCTAGTGTGACAAGGCTGCACAAAACACAGCAAGATGACTCACGGGGGCTCTGAGGTGGGCTTCCTATGGGAGACAACGAGATCTTGCTTTGAGCTGAGCTCTGAAGACTTCCTAACCCAGCTCAGACTAGGAAGTATGAGGGTAACACCCATCACAACCTGCAATCCCAGTCCAGCCCCCACCCATCTGCTCAGCTCCTACCGCCTCTCCGGGAATCCTTCCCAAAGATGTTCTCTCTGCCACCTCATACCCAATGGGCCTCTCAAGTGCAAGCCACAGGGCACATCAGATCTTTCCTGGACTCTTGGAGTCAGCACCCTTGTTGCTTTTCCCAGATGAACTGGAGTCATCGTCTCCATAGGTGTGGGACATGTCATTGAGCCTGGCTTTTCTGCCAGGCCCTCGACAGGGCTTTCCTAGACCTCTGCACAGCCCTAATCCTAAATGTCCCGCCTCTTTCTCTCTGGTCCTTTTGCTGTGTACCAAGTTCCAGGCCAGGCATCCAAAGTTCTTCCTCCCACAAGGCCCAACATCCTTTCTCTGGTACTCTGCAGACAAGTGGGTCCCCTTCCTCTTGGGTTCCTGCTCCTCATATCTGCCTGTAGTGTGCAGACCAGCCTGGACTCATGCTCCCACCCTGGGATTCCCCCTCCCCAGAGTGGCCTCAGCTCTCTTTCCCTGTAGACCAGAACCTTCCCCCGGTTCCCAGCTATCTCCCTATCCCAGTCACCCAGGCAGAGGATGGCCTTTGTATACAAAGCCAGAGTTGTTCAGGCAATCTGCTCCAGAATGCAGATAACTTCTGGAAGCACAAGATTATGGGTTCCAGTGAATTCGAGGGGTTGGCAGGATGGAGTTAGCAGTGAGGATCAGTATGTAGGCATATGACAACATACTCTGTGGACACCTGTAGGAGCCCTCATGGAGGTCTCTGCAAGCCCTCAGTTCCATGGAGGCCCGAAACACCAGGGGTTAGTTGGCCTTCGCATAAACACTTACCTGTCTCCAGTGATGGGGAGGATGATGTTGCCCTTACAGGAGTAGGTGATGATGGACACCCGCAGGTCCTGGCTGGGAGGAAGCAGTGTTTATGAGAGGCCACCACCTCAACATGATGTCATCAGGGTGTCAAGGAAGGCACTCAAACAAAATTCTCTTCTCCTCATCCTCATCCCTTCACCTTTGAGGCCTTATCCAGTAGGCATCCCACTGAGTATATTTCATGAAAGATTCTGAAGCCTATGGAAATGTGACCCCTGAGAAAGAGAGGCAGCCGAGTCAACCCCTACTCCATCCCTGTGCTCAGACTCATGCACACTTTTATGTGCTCACACTCATACACACACTCATACACACTCATGCACACACTCCTATGTGCTCACACTCATACACACTCATGCACACACTCCTATGTGCTCACACTAATGCACACTCATGCACACATTCCTATGTGCTCACACTCATACACACACTCATACACACACATGCACACACTCCTATGTGCTCACACTCATACACACTCATGCACACTCATGCACACACTCCTATGTGCTCACACTCATGCACACTCATGCACACACTCCTATGTGCTCACACTCATACACACACTCATACACACACATGCACACACTCCTATGTGCTCACACTCATGCACACTCATGCACACACCCCTATGTGCTCACACTCATACACACTCATGCACACTCATGCACACACCCCTATGTGCTCACACTCATACACACTCATGCACACTCATGCACACACTCCTATGTGCTCACACTCATACACACACTCATGCACACACATGCACACATTCCTATGTGCTCACACTCATACACACTCATGCATACACTCCTATGTGCTCACACTCATACACACTCATGCACACACTCCTATGTGCTCACACTCACACACATGCACACACTCCTATGTGCTCACACTCATACACACACTCATGCACACACATGCACACACTCCTATGTGCTCACACTCATGCACACTCATGCACACACTCCTATGTGCTCACACTCATACACACACTCATACACACATGCACACACTCCTATGTGCTCACACTCATGCACACTCATGCACACACCCCTATGTGCTCACACTCATACACACTCATGCACACTCATGCACACACCCCTATGTGCTCACACTCATACACACTCATGCACACGCATGCACACACTCCTATGTGCTCACACTCATACACACTCATGCATACACTCCTATGTGCTCACACTCATACACACTCATGCACACACTCCTATGTGCTCACACTCACACACATGCACACACTCCTATGTGCTCACACTCATACAAATGCATACACTCCTATGTGCTCACACTCATACACATGTACACACTCCTATGTGCTCAAACTCATACACACTCATACACAGTCATACACTCCTATGTGCTCACACTCATACACATGCACACACTCCTATCTGCTCACACTCATACACATGTACACACACCCCTATTCACACCCACCCAGGCTGAACAGGCAAGACCTCCATAGGGTCCTCCCTCCCCCTCACCTCTGGTCTACTGTAAATTTCTCAGCGTCTCATCCTGACTCCAAGGAACCGAACTTCCTCTGACTTCCCCTTCTTCCCATTCTCTGCCACAGGACCCTCAGAAAACCCTCCTGCAAGTGTCCCGTGTCCCCAGTGACCCGTCTGGGGTTCAGCTGACTCGGTTGGATCTCAGCCTCGATCTTGTTCCTCTGCTCTCCACAGAACTTGTGTGTGCCTCTCCCCCAATAGCTCACACTGGAAAATCTAAAACCCGTGGCCTGGCTTAGTAAGCCCCTACGTGCTTGTTTCCAAGCTGACCAGCCCTCCCCTGGTTACCGCCACTCACCGGCCTCAGAAACCGCCCACTTCCCTGAATCACCCTAATGGTTTCTCTGTCGTTGTCTCCTCTGTCACCGAAGTGTTTCCACATCCTTGTGCATACCACCCTAACCTTGCCCGAGGTACCCTTGCCCTTTCCCATGCTTCCATGGCTCGTTGCCTGTCCTTTTCTTTTGGCCCCAAGCACCCTGTGACCAAGTGCTGGTTACTGAGTCACTGGTCTCCCTGCCTTCCCGAGTCTTGCAGCCTCAAGGGTGAACTCTGTCCCTATGCTACACCTGGCTCCCAGGCAGGAGCAGTCAAAGCTGCAGACACTTAATGGGACTGGTGTACTGTGTCCTCTGCCCTGCTCAGCACATCAGCCGGGGGCTGTGCTCCCGCTATGAGGAACTCTTAGGCCTCCCAAATCCAAGAAACGTGCCCTCTGCGCAGCAGGACACGCCCCCCGCCCCCCCCTCCCCGCATCACGGAGCAGCCTGCAGCATCAAGTCTTACTTTGACAACCTGTTCACCACCTCCACCACAAACTTGTAAACGTGCGGCCAGGCCTTTGACATGCGGTCAGACCTGGAGACGGACAAAGGAGAGATGCCTCGGTGGATACAGGTTACGGTGGACCAGACCTCTCCCCCCACCCCCTCCTGGCCTTTCATCGGCTTCCTTAGCTAGCTGCTTCTGCACCAGTGCTGCCTACCACACCAGAGCAGCCCGGGAGGTAACTTTCTCCGGGGCCAGCAATGGACAGAGGGTGGTTAAAGAGCCCCATCCGGAGGAACCGGAAGGACCCGTGTGAGAGGCCCATTGGTGTGGCTGGCTGAGCACAGCAAGGCCAGGACTGTGTAGTCTTAAAACAGGAAAGGCCCTGAGTGTTTGCGGAGAGTCTCTCTGGCTCCCCACGTGCCCTTTTCTCTGTTTCCAGCCCTCTCTCACATCAACCAGCCCGGGGGCCATGCTGTCTTTGTTACACTCTGGGGCTCTTGAACATCAGATTTTCCCCAACATATGTGGCTCCTTTTCCATACCTGTGTGCCACTGGCACTCTCTCTCATGACAGTCCTGTTGTCACATACCCCCACATTCCCCGGCATCCCCAGAGAGGCGTTTTCCCTGGGAGGTGGGCCTTAGCTGTGGCTGGCGGGTGTGGAGGTCTGTGTTAGAGCCTAGCCTTCAACCAGCCTCCACAGCGCGGCCGCCCTGGGCTAAGAAGGGCTCCTCCAGCAGTCAGTGCTAGGAGAGATGGAGGCCCAGCCCCTGCCGCCATGACATCATTGTCCCCAGTCCTCATGACTGTAACATGAATGTTCCCGGCCCCGCTAGGTCCCGCCCCCCTTCTCTGCCCCAGTTAAACACATGGATGCTTTGTTAGTACAAAGTTGTTGGCCTTTTGGCTACGGTTTCTTATTTGCTAGCTCAGTCTTAATTATTAATCCATGACTACTAATCTATGTATTTCCTCGTGGCCTTATTTTACCAGAGAAAAGGTCCCTGCCTCTTACTCCCTTGAGGTCTACATTGAGTCTGCTCAGCTTCTCCACAGAGAAGAGAGTGCTTTCCTGCTTGTCCCTGTTTATGTACAGATTCTGCCCTGCTATGTCACTTCCTGTCTGGATCACATGGTGACTTCTCTTCACTACGTTTCCCAGAATCCTCCTCGACTCCTAGTCCCACCTATCTTGCTTCCCTATTGGCCAACAGTGCTTTGTTTATCAACCAATAAGAGAAACGTATACAGAAGGACTTCCCCCGTCACGTGATAGCTTTTGTTTTCCGGTCCTGACTCTCAAATCCGTGTCCCCAGTTTTTCCCCCATAAGTCCCTGGATGGAAAGCAAGCAGGTAAAGGAAATGGGTTTTTGACCTCTGACCCACATCCCAGAAACAAAGGGTCTGTGATCCACAGCTTTGCTGGTCTTTACGTCAAGGAAGAGACAAAAAGTGCTTCGGGTATGGGGATGGATGGAAAGTGCTCAGTGGTTATCTATTCCTCTGAAATCTGAGCAGTGTTATGGAATGAATCTGAGGCTGGCATAGCCTCTGGATTTTGTCAGCTCATGTGTTTCAGGTGATGTGAGTCAGAAACTCCTACTGACAGAGAATTCACCTCCAGTGGCACTTCTGCCCACGAATGTGACTTTCCTGAAGGTTACATCATATGTGTAATTGTCACAGAATTAGTCACTTTTCTTATTGCTGTGACAGAATATCAGACAAAAGCAACTTAAAGACAAGCTTATCTTGGCCTGCAGATTGAGACTACAGTGTAACACAGAGGGCAAGTCATAGAAGCAGTTAAACCTATTGCACCCATTGTCGAAGAGCAAGAGAGTCAGTTGCTGCACATCTTTAATCCCAGCATTTGGGAGGCAGAGATGGGAGGATCTTTGTGAGTTCAAGGCTAGTGTGACTTACAGAGCAAATTCCAGGACAGCCAAGGCTGCACAGAAAAACTGTCTCAACCCCCCCCCAAAAAAGAGAGAAAGAAAAAAGAAAAGGAGAGGAGAAAAGAGGAGAGGAGGGGAGGGGAGAGGAGAGGAAAGGAGGGGAGGGGAGGAGAGGACAGGGGAGGACAGGGGAGGGGAGAACAAGGGAGGGGAGGGGAGGGGAGGGGAGGAGAGGAGGATGTGGTGCTCAGCTTGCTGTTTCCTTTGGGTTCCAGCTGAGACTCCAGTCCATGGAACAGTGTGGCCCACATTTACCAAGGGTCTCCCCACTTCAGGTAGCCCAACATGGAAACTCTCCGGTATACCTGTCCAGAAATGTGTCTCCTAAGCAACCTCAGATCCCATCAAACTAATAACATTAGCCATCACATGTTCACCCCTTGTCAACTGGACACCAAAACAAAGCAAACACCCCTTTCCTTGTCAGCTCATGGCTGTCTCAGAACACAAGATGCTTTCGGTCTAACTTCAAAAGTCCCAAAGTCTTTAACAGCCCCATCACTGCTCAAAAGTATAGGTGCAGGATCCTTTCAGAGACCAAGGCAGTGAGCTCCAGTAACATCTAAAAGCAAGCCACGTGTTTCTAACATATACTAGCACAGAGTAAAGGCTTACTATTCCAAAAAGGGCACTATTCCAAAAAGGGCGGATGGAGACACATAACGGACAGATCAGACTAAAGCAGAGTCAAAACTAAGCAGGGCAAAAATCATGCCCAGCATCTGGGGTCTTGAAATCATCCTCCTTGTGCAGTCCTTGTCCACTAGCTATGCTACCTTCAACACTCATGGCTTCTTTTTCAGGTCTAATCCATGCCTGCAGCTTTTCTCAGCAGATGCCCCTTGGGTGTCCAATGAAATTTAGACTTCACCTCCTCAGCTTCACATACTCTCTGGACTCAATGGCTTCCGAGAACTTTGGCACCATGGACCATGGCCAGCGAAGCCTTGCATCTTTTGTTCCTACAAGCCTGTACTACACAAGTGATGCTGCAAGCTTGTGATAAAGCTGTGTTCCCTTAGACCACAGTTCCATCTCTTTCTGTGTGCTGGTCCCAGGGAAACACTTTCCTGGGAGTTGTTTTCCAGCAAGAAACTACTGCAGTGGGGTTCCCAACATAGACTCCTGCTTCTGATCAATTTGTGATTTTATGAAGAGGGGGTCTTTGCTGGGTAGCATTTCTTTCCTATTGTTTCATGGCAGAGAAGGTTTTTTTTAAGCATGCTAGTCTTTATGCCAATTCCAACTGCTTTTCTCAGCACCCACCTTATATGCAACTTGGACTTTCTCCTTTCTCCACAGACCACACACACACACACACACACACACACACACACATACACACACATATATGTCTACACACACACACACACATATATGTCTACACACACACACACACACACACACACACACACATATATATATATATATATATATATATATATCTCACTGGCTTGTTTGTTTCTCTGTCTCTCCCTGGAGACCTAGATAAGAGCAGTGAGCAATAACCATGGCACATCCTCTCAGCCTATGGCATGCTATCCTGTCTTAAAACTTCTTCCACCAAACAAATTAGTCCCTTACCTAAAAACAAAACAAAACAACAAAACAGTGTTTCATATATCCTTGACTATCCTCAAGCTTGTTATGTAGAATGATTTTTACCCAAAATCTTCTTGCCTCTAATTCCAAGTGCGGGACTTAGAGCTAGGCACCACCAAGCCCCCTTTTTGCAGTCTGGAAATGGAACCAAGGGTTCTATGCATTTTAATTGAGTGCTCTACTGACTGAGCTACATTCCCAGTTCTGTTAAACACTTTTTCTCACTCAAGTTCTCAGAACACATGCATAATATGCCATGAATAAACTCTAGCCCAGGTCCCAGAGTCCTCATCACTCTCTGAAACCTCAGGAGCACATCAACCACTTTACTGCATATACCTTGGATTCTGGTCTTCCCAACAGCCACGGGAATGACCCATGAAGCTTTGTTTACAGCATCGTGGGCATTTTCTGGCCCAAATTTCAAAATTCTTTTTACTATTACAAATCAGTTCTAAAAGCTTTAAAAGTCATATGATCCGGTTTCTCACAGCAACTAAGCCACTTCTCACTAGCTGGAACCAAATCACTGACAAAGCAATTTCAGGGTTTATTTTGCCTCCGGTTTGAGGGTGTGGTCCATTGTGGAGGTAGGAAAGTTGTGGTGCAGAAGCATGGAGCAGCTGTTCCCAATGTATCCTCAGTCCAGAAGCAGAGAGAGGCTGACACCAGTGAGCAGCTTGCTTTCTCCTTTTTCGTCCATGCTGGGACTCTAGGTACACAGTGCTGCCACTTTCTAAGGAGAGTCTTCCCACCCCAGTTAGCCCAATTAGAAATCCCCCCATACTCATGTCCGAGGGATGCCCCTGAGTGATTCTCAGTCCTGTCAAACTAATAGTCAATATTAACTATCATAGTTCGCGCCAAAGAAGGGTGTCCTACGGCCTCTGTCCAGCTCTGTGTAGAGTTGATGAACAAACTCACTGCTACATGACCCTAACACTAGCAAGACTATTGTCCTCATGGTACTCTGCACCTACAGGTAAACCCCGTGATATCAGCGAATCTCTACAACAGAGGAAAAACAAAGCTCTGAAGAAAGGTAGAGTCAGTTTTTTACAGTATTCTCAGCAACTATGGGTGAATCTAGAACTTTATCCAAATCCCATGTACTGCTCATTGCTTCCGCACACCCCGTCTCCATTGTGAATGAGTAGGCTTTGACTATGGAAACTAAACGCCTTGCAGACTTTGCTCTGGGAAGCTCCCAGACTAAGGCGCCAGATGAGTCCTTTTCCCTAACAAGAGGTGACATGCTTTCTGTTTTTGTCCCTCTATGAAGAGTGCCTTCCCACTAAGGCTCACAAGGACCCTGCATGTCTCTCCTGCTCATGGACTCTAGAAGTTTTCAATCTGAGATTATAGGAGGAAGATATGGATTCTAGAACTCAAGACAAATCAAGGGTTCAAGGGCAATGGGAAGAAAGACCTTACGACAGACAGGGGCCTAGAACTTTGGGAACATTGTCCCATTTGTGTATCAGTGCTCATCCTTATATGAAACAGTGATCAACTGGCACCTGAGGGTGGCTTTTGTGGCAAAATCTGAGACCTAGTCATAGTATTGAAGCATGATGGGGGAAAAGGAGTGTGACAGAGTCATTCAGGAAACCAAACTGTGGAAAAGCTAAGAGCTCTTTCCCTTTAGTTATCAGTTGCTAGAGGAACTATAAACCTCAAACATAACAGAAGGTACTAAGTATAATCCTATTAGCACAAACAAGGCCATAATACATACCCAATAGGAAAGACCTAGACTTGCATGTTACTGCCTTGAGGGAGTGGGATCAGAATGAAGAGTTTGACAGGTGCCTTGAGGTGTGATACTCATTATAGTGTTGAACATTAAATTTACCCTCATTCACCTGTAAAACAGCAGGCTGTGCTAGTGAACATGGCACATTAACAGGTGTATAATTAATGATATTTCACACCCCTGTCTGTGCCCATAGCCTTTCCATCCATCATAGAGAAGGGTTCGTTCCCTTCTGTACCCCACAGTGGGGTCCAGGGAAGTAGGTGGGACAAATACAACAGGATGGCAGCTAAAAGGGTCACTCTATAGAAGGACTGGCTCAACCAGGCTGTCACCCCACAGCTCCATAGGGCCCATTCCCATCTGGCCCTGATACCCAAGGGAAAATGCCAACCCTAGTAGTGCTAACTATCAAAGGAACAGGATGTGTCTGCTGGTTTTGGAGTCCCTGGGCTGGGTAGAGAAAAGGCCTCTTTTAGAGTAGGGAGGCTCCCTAAGTTGCTGGCTCAGCTTAGAAACAATAGGCTAGATCCACGCCTACTCGCCAACCAGTGTTCAAGGAGAATAAGAGAAACAAGATGATCCAAGCCAGAAATGATGAACAGAGCCCAGTCTTGTCACCAGAGCCCAGGAAACCCAGTCTTGTCACCACCAAGTGCCTCAGTCACTTTGCCAACCCAAGAGCACACTTCAAAATAGAAGCCCCAAGCTCCTTTGTAGCCCAGGATGTTTGAAGACACAAGCAAGCATTCAAGAGATCCCAGACACAGCTTCCCCAACCTGGCTCTGGTTGAATGGGCAGAAAATACAGCCATAGCCTGCCAGGAAATTCAGAGAAAGGAGTCCAGGCTAGCTCTCCCAGCCCAGGCCCACAACCTCTTCCTTCCTTCCCTTGACAGCCAAGAGGGGCCTAAAGACTAGCCCAGCCTACCCAAAGCCACACTCAGACAAACAGCACAGGGACTGTCTCTGACTCTCCAAGTAGGAGAAAGAAGTTGACTGCTTGGAATAGCTAAGCAAAGGCCATTTGGTGGCAACAATCATCTCTGCAGAGTTCCTGAGTGGGCTGTTCACAGGACCGAGAAGTCAGCTCCTAACAGCCACTGGGCTGGAGGACAATGGAAACCCAGACCTGGGCAAGACGCTACGGACAGAGCTGCAGGAAGCACTGTGGTGGCCTTCCTGACTTCAGGAAACAAGTCAGTCACAGAAGCTGGTTTCTGACCATCATGGCCCCTGGAGACGGTGGGGTCTTCAGTGTTCCCTGTGAGGAAAGCCACTTACTTATCCAGGACAAAGTAGATGTCAGGGGTGGCCTGGCACGGTTTCTCCCCCGAACTCCTTCGATGCCACATATGCATTAGGTTCTGGTCTTCATGGTGGTGGAAATTTCTGGAGCCTAAGACCAGCCCAGGGTAGTACTCTCTGTCAGGGTACTGGTACAGGAAGTTCCCTGTGCTCATCGGTGATGGAAGCAGGGTGAACAGGAAGAGCACAGAGTGAGACACCTGGGGGCAGCAGCCCAGCATTTTCTTGGTGGTCTTTGTAGGGTCCAGCTAGGTGGACCCCAGGCCACCTCTGATTCCCTTCTCTGTTGCTGCGGCCACTGCCTGCACTTAGGGAAAATAGCCCTTGTGTCCTCTCTCCGATGCTCACTGCTGCTGTCCCCTTGGTGGCCTCAGAGTATAGGGACCAGGGACATAGCTGCTCTGGGGGTATCCTGCCTCTCACTGCCTGCATGGCCCTTCCACCAACATTCTAGAGTTATGATGGGCAGGGAGGTTGACATGGTGACTTTGTGACCTGCCCCTCTGCTCAACATCCTGCATGCTGGCAGTGCAAGTGGCAGTCACAGAACCTTTGGTGTCAGATAAAGTCTCCTTGCCCTTCACCTAGTCAAGGAATCCAGACATTTTGTTAGCTGAGTCAGTGTTTCAAGGCGGCCAAGACCATGGGTCATCATTAGTGGGGAAGTGGGCCCTGGGAAGCTGTTTTGGGTCTCTAAGTCAGTCAGGAGCTGACAAAGTCTGGAAGTGGGTGGAGATGATATCCTCCTGCCACAGTCTTCTGTGAACAGGGGAAGTCCAGTTATTCACGGCCATGTGACAAGCCACACAACCTCGGTGACTTAACAACCATTTTGCTGAATTTGCAGGGTGGATCCCTCAGGAAGGATAGGGTATATCTCAGGATGAGGCTCCTTGGGAAGAGCTGAGAGGCAGAACTCAGAACTGTCTCGAAGCTTTCTTATTGGCATCTGGGCTGAAGCTCCACTCCGGCTTGGACCCTGCTGTGTTTTCTTAGGTGTGAGTCAGGAGAACCACAATCTGCTGATGGGGTTTCATGAATTCTAAAATACTAAATATTCAAACTATTCTATCACTCCAAATAAGAACTGAAACAAAAGCCCACCAGTCCAATACAGTGTGCTGTTAGGCATTTGTGCATTATACCTATTAGCCTAAAAACAATTTTTTCAGATTTGCCTTCGTGCATATAAAACAAAGACAGCAACGCTTGTTTGCCCTCAGCTGGAAGACTCTGAAACGTTTTTAGATGCATCTGTCTCCCCATTACACATCCCCTCTGCCACTGCACCTGCTGTGAAGCAGCAGGGCCATCGTGGGCTAAGCCCACCCACAATCCTCTGAGAGCCGAGGACCAAGTCCTTGTTTCTAAACCTCGTCTGTTGCAGGAGCTCTGACCTGAAGATATGGGTGATGACATAAAGTGTTCTACATTTTGACCTTGCTCCCTGCAGATACTCTTGAAGCCCTGAGCCTCCATCAGGGAAGTCCTCTCCTCTCGATGCTACCAAACTGTGAGGAGGCCCAAGTCATTCATAGATAGCCGCCATGGAGACAAGGTTGCTATGAACAGTCGCAGATGAGCCTTTGGAGTCCTCCACACCAGGCACCACAGGCGACAGTGAAGAAGCGTCCAGATAATTTCAGTCTCCACCACACAAGTCCTACCTCGGTGCTGAAGTCTTCCCAGGAGCCCTGTCACAAGCACCCTCTTACTCGATACTCCCCAGGGGTCTCACTCCACACTCCCTAAGGACTTTGTGAGCACAATAAAATGGTTCCATGTTAAGTCACCAAGATGGGGCAGCCTGTCACACGGCAGTGGATGACTGGACTATTTCCCTTCACAGAGGATGCTGGCAGCAGCACAGGATCTCCATCCCTTTCTAGACCCTGCTATTATTGCCTGGCTTGCTTGATGACACACAATTGGCTTCTGGGTCCTTGGTGACCTGGTAACCTCCCTCCCTCTGCTACATTCTTAGTGAAAAATGTCTGAGTTCCTTGAGGTGGCCCCTGAGGACCTCTGTGAGGAGCTGTGATAAGGGACGAGGAGGCCCTTATCTGAAACCTCTGCTAAGGTTTCAGTCTGTGACTACCGCTTGCCACTGTCAACATGAAGGCACTGAGCAGAGGGGCAGGTCACAAAGTCACCATGTCAACCTCCCTGTCCATCATAACCCCAGGGCATTGGGGGAAGGATTATACAGGCAATGAGAGGCAGGGGGCCCTAGAGCAGCTACATCTGTGTTCTGAGTTCACCCAGTAGAGAGCATCGGTGAGCATCGGTGAGAGGACACAAGGGCTCTTTGCCCTAAGTGCAGGCGGAGGCCGCAGAGAAGGAAGTCAGGTGGCTAGAACTCAGCCTGCAGAGACCCTGGCCCGAAGTCCCCCTGTGTATCAGCCTTACAGGATCAGCCAAGAGAATGCAAGAGCATAGTCCCCGGGTGTCCCATTCGGTGCACCTGCTGCTTCTATTGTCCATGGTACCTGCTGTAGTCCACAGTTTCCTGTACCCTCAATCTGACCAAAGCTCCTATCGGAAGGACTCTGACATCTCCGGTGTTTATGAAGACTGGATGGCGAGGAAGACTATGGAGGAAATGGAGGAGGAGGTTCTGCAGTACTGTGATGGTGACTTTGACGTCTACTTCATCTTTGACAAGTGAGTAGCCCTAGATAATCTATCTCCATGTGCTTTTGTCCCATGTCATAACAAGACCTGTAACATGATAGCCTCAGCCAGGAGAGAAGCAGAAAAAGTCTGTGAGTGAGACCAGAAAATTAGCCAGGCAATGGTGGTGCATGCACACCTTTAATCCCAGCACTCCAGAGGCAGAGGCAGGTGGATCTCTGTGAGCGTGAGGACAGCCTGGTCTACAAAGTGAGTTCCAGGACAGCCAGGGCTGTTGCACAGAGAAACACTGTTTCAAGAAAAACAAACAAAAAAGGGCCAGAGAATTGGATCTCTCTGATTTCCTTCAGGAGATCCTCTGGGCAATTTTGTCTGGTTTTTCCATTAGTCATCTTTCATTGGTTTCTTCGTTGAATTTGAAGAAAATGAGTATACACCCGCTTTCTATGTCAAGTAGCTTTTGAGGAGCAGAGGAGAGAGCCACCTGGATAAACCACTGAGCCTGAAACTTCTAATGATTGCTGTAGGATCACAGTATATGGAGATGAGAGGGAGGGCAGATCTAACTGGGTGTCCCTGGGAGGGAAAAAGGGGGATTTTACCAAGGGAGGGTGGCTCCAATATGTGTTTCCTAAGGAGCACTTTGTCCGCAGGGAAGGGTGAAGGGTGGTTCTGGGGCTGCAGCACGGTCTTCAGAGGCCCACGCAGGGCCTGTGTGGCTGTGCATGACAAGGAGCAGGAGGTAGAAGCCAGGGCAACCCCACAAGCCTGGCGTGAGCAGAGAAGAAAAGCTGGAAGACAGGAGTGAGGTCGAGCTGACAGCTGCCTGCTCTGAGAACCAGCCTCAGAGCAGCTCAACCCCAGTTCACCGGGGAGAAGAGCTTGCTCACCAGTGCTGTGCTGGTTGGGTTTTGTCAACTTGTCACAAAATAAAGTCATTTGGGGGAAAGGAGGACTTTGACTGAGAGGAAGCCTCCATCAGACGGCCTGTGGGTGAGCTGTGACGCCTTCTCCGGATTAAGGATTGATGTGAGAGGGCCCAAGCCACTGTGGGCAGTGCCGACTCTAGACACATAATCCTGGCTTGTGTAAGAAAGCTGACTGGGCACGCCATGGGGAGTAAGCCAGTAAGCCGTCCTCCCCATGGTCGCTGACTCAGTTCCTGCTTGAGTTCCTCTCCTGTCCTGACTTCCCTTCGTGATGGGCTATAAGCTCTAAGTAAACCCTTTCTTCTCCCCACCTGCTTGTGGTTATGGTGCCTGTCACAGCAACAGAAAGCCGACCAAGACTCCATGGCCGGTGCCTGCCTTCTCCGTCTCGGCTTCTCCCTGCCTCCCGTGGGTAAGGTGACCGTGCGAGCTGCCGAATAAAGCAAATCCGAGTCGCTGAGCTCTAGACTCTGAGGCCCCAGATCCCTTCCTCCTCTGCCGTGGGCCACCAGGGAGTCTGAGTGAGAAGAGGGTGAATCCGCTCTAGACTGTCCTAAATAGGAAGCGAAAAGGCTAGGGTGGGATGGGCGGGGCCCAGGGCGTGAGGCTTTCCTAGGTCTGTGTTCCCTGGCCTCTTCTGTCTGCCTCTACAGCGCCGATGGATCCCCAGCCCCAATCCCCACATAGCCCACAGTCTCACCCAGGCTTCCCTCTGCCAAGGCTTTGCCTCCGCGGCAGTTATGCACAGGGACAAGGTGTTGCCTGTCTCTGAGGGACCGAGACTCAGCTGTGAGGAGGCAGCGCTTCTGAGACACTCAGTTGCTCTCCTGTGCCCAAAGCCTCTTCTCTGGCCTGGCTTTCTTCTGCTGGCTCTTTCCCTCTGCAGCCTGTTTCTGCTGGTGAAGGGGCCTCGGCATCTGAGCGTGTCGCCCCTCCTTGGCTTTTGGGACAGATGAGCAGCAGCTTAAGGAAGACCACTGCTTCCTGTGGAAAAAGAGGAAGGGTCTTCCTTCTAGCCTCTCCCAAGCACCCGTCAGCTCCTCTCAGGTCTCTTGGGCCTGTGAAGCAATGCCTTCCTTGGAAGGTTCTCATCAGACTGAGAGAGATACAACCCTGACCTTTCAGGGCACACAGTCCCAAGGTCTGTCACCCCTGAATCTGACTGGACATGGGTCCAGCACTGCGTGGGAAGAGCTGTCCTTCATCCCTCATTCTTATTTGACTGTAGTGCCAGCATGATCACCAGACTGACTGCCCCAATGTCCTGCAAGGAAGCTGCCTGCCCCCTCCCACCACACTTCAGCTAGAGGACGTGTCCATATTCAGGCCCTGTCCACAGGGAAGGCACAGCCAGTATAGGCAGACTTCTCCTGGTGAATTGGGGACATAAGTCAGTGGGCAAGATGCCTACCACAGGGGTAAAGCGCGTGTCAGGAAGTGAGCAGGAATAGAGTTGAGGGGGCGTGTTCACAGGCATGATGACTTCAACTGACTTGAGTCTGGAAGCTGAAAGGCCCCCCTGGGTCTGTCCCTCCTTGAGCCACAGGGGTTCTCCTGCCCTGGGGAATGGAATGTCACTTAGAATGAATTGCACAGCAATTCTGCAGCCAGGGGGATGCAGAAGGGAACACAACTGGATTTCTAGTCTTTAGTACTTGGAACCTAACAGACTCTCCTGTGCAATAATCTAAGCAGAAGGCTGAGTCTGAAGCCCGGGCACAGGGTCAGGGCTGGTGCTGAGCCCTGTTGTCTTGTCCTCTTCGCCGTCACTCGTGGCCTCTCACAGTGAGCAGAGGGTGATGGCTGCTATCCAGAGGTTCCCAGGTCGTCTCCCCAAACTACTCACGTCCAGGTATTCACCCAACTCCCCTTGTTGCATGGTGGCCCCAATGGCCCTTACAGTCTGAACAGAGTCAGTGCAATGGTGGAGCATGGGGTTTCAAGGCTTTGAATTTAAAATAATATTCCATTGCAGAGAACATGGAGAAAATAGGCTCTGTCACCGCTTTGATGACGTCTGAAGTTTCTGTGGTGCGTTGTTTCCTCGTGGTGCTGCCTAGCCAGGGAGGACCTCTTGCTTCAACTTTCCAGCAGCCAGGCTCCCTCTGCCTGGGACATCCATGATCACCCCCTACACGCTGGGCCTCTGAGTTCTGCTTTCTCCAGACACTGTGAATTGTGTGCCTGTCTTACATGACCTAACTAGGCAGAGAAGGTGATGCTCTCACAAAAGTTACACAGAGTCTCACAAAAGACACTCTGTAAACATCTTACTGGTGTCTTCCGACTCTCCCATCTATGTATGACATGGCTTTTGCTTTTGGTTTTTACTGTTTTTCTAGGAAAAAAGCATACATACATTTTAGACAAATACATGCAGACACACACACACACACACACACACACACACACACAAAGCTGTAGGTTTTGGGTCTTTCTTTGGTGAGAGGTTTTCAATATTGATTTTTTTTCTTCTTACTACTTCCAAATCAGTTCATATTCTCTCTTCAGCATTCAGTTTGGGTAGCCGTCCTGTGTTTAGCAATTATCCACTTCCATCTGGGATTAGGTTATCCCTGTAGCCTGAGCGTAAGTGCTGGTACTCTGTTCTCTTACTCCTGTAGATTTGCACTCCTCTTTTAGCCCCTTTGATTTTAGTCACTCGAATCATGCTGTTTTCATTCTTGATCGGCCAAGATAAAAACTTGTTGATTTTGGTGATCTTGTCAAAGAATTGCACCGTGAGTCATCTACAGTTCTCAATTTTTCTGCTCACAATTTTATTGGCTCTGCTCTAGTTTCTTTTATTTCCTCTGATAGCATAGCACTTATTTTCCCTTTCATTTTCTAGTTCTCTGCGATGTAAAATCCGCTTGTTAACTGCACATCTGCCCCCTCAACCACTTACCCAAAAATTTTTTAAATGATTTTTCTTTACTTTTGAGAATTCCATGCTTAGTGTGGTGGATTAAAAGAAAATGCCCCAGAAGGGAGTGGCGCTGTTAGAAGGTGTGGTCTTGTGGGAGTGGTTGTGGCCTTGCTGGAGGAAGTCTGACGCTGTGGAGCAGGCTTTGAGGTCTCATATATGACCAAGCCATGCCCAGATCACTTCCTGTTGCCTGCTGATCAAGATGTAGCTGCTTTTTCACTCTCAGCTTCTTCTCCACCACCACGCCTGCCTGCCCGCCCGCCCGCCTGCCCGCCCGCCCGCCTGCCTGCCTGCCTGCCACCACATCCCACCATGATAATTATGGATTAAAACATCTGAAATGATAAACCACCCAGTTAGGTGTTTTCCTTTGTCAGAGTTGTTGGGGTCATGGCATCTCTTCACAGCAATAGAAACTATGAGACAGACGTTGATACCAGGGACTGGGGTATTGCTGTGCTAGGCCTGACCGTGATTTTGTTTGAGGGAATATAGACTGTGGGATTAGAAAACTGAGTACTTCAAGTGCAGATCAAGGGGCATACTTGCAGGAGCATGGAGGACGGTAGGGTTGAGTGTGATTTAATGAGTGAGATTTTTAGAGGAGAATTTTAGTATGCTGCCTAGAGGTCGTTCTTGTGATATTTGGGGAAAGAATGTGACTGCTTTTTGCTCTTGTCTGAGAAGTCTCCCTGAGACTTGGATTAATTTGGATTAATTCTGTTGGCAGAGGAAATCTCACAACAGCCTAGTATACACTCTGCTGTGTGGTTACATGTGTTAACTCTAATGAAGATTCATAATGAAAAGAAGCAAGCTGGGAAAGGAAAAATACAAAATGTACAGTTTGGGGAGAAAAGGAGTACCAGGAAGTGGAGTGGAGTTGAGTCCTGTGTTCAAGGAGATAAATGGATTAAGAAATGTAACAGGAAAAAAAGGGGAAGAAGAAGGAGGAAGAGGAAGAGGAGGAGGAAGGAGAAGGAGGAGAAGAAGAAGTAGAAGAAGAAGAAGAAGAGGAGGAGGAGGAGGAGGAGGAGGAGAAGGAGGAGGAGGAAGAGGAAGAGGAAAAGGAGGAAGAAAATAGAGGGAGTGGTGACCTCAGGGCAAGATCCCATCCAGCTGAAGAAAAGCTTAGAGCCGGGTGTGGTGATGTACTCTTTTGATCCCAGCACCTCTTAGGAAGAGGCAGGCAGATCTCTGATTTTAGGGCCAGCCTGGTCTACAGATGCAGATTCAGGACAGCCAGGTTTAGCCCACAAAGGAAACCATCGAAAACAGAAATCTGGTGAAGATGTAACTGAACATGGAGGCCATGTTCCAGCCCCAGCAAGCAGCAGAACTTAGCAGCTTCATGTGGATTTGGGTTATAATCGAGGATAGAAGAAAAACACTGTGGAGTCTTCCTCTGTGACTAAGGAAAGCTGCTGAGGCCAGGCATATGTCAGGGATGTCCTTGAATGGAGAACTAGAGAGGCCATTTTGTGAAGCCTGGATTGCGTTGGAGATCAAAGATGTTGGAGACGACAGAATTGTGGGATACCTGCCAAGGAGAGCTGCTCACAGGGAGTGGGACCAGCCCCAGAGAAAGAAGTGTGTCGTAGTCAACAAGGCTGAGAGAAGTCTGAAACCTGAAGATCACTTTGGCATCAGACGTGGAGATGCAGAGTTTGGAGTTTTCCCAGCTGGTTTTCAATCTTGCTTTGGTCCAGTATTTCCTGACTATTCTCCATTCCCTATGTTTTAGAATAGTAATGTACATTCTGCGCCATTATATGTTGTAAAAATGTGGTGTGCTTTTTTAATTTTGATTTTACAGGGAATTACAGTTAAGAGGTGGCATGACTCTCAGAAGAGACTTTGAACTTTAGACTTTTAAATAATTTTGAGACTGTTATAGACTGTAGGGACTTCTGAAGTTGGACTGACTGCATTTCTGCATATTGATATGGCTACAAGCCTTTGGGGGCCAGGGAGTAGAATGTGGTGCTTTGAAAGAAAATGGCTGCCAAAGGGAGGGACACTATTGGGAGCTAAGGCACTTAGCTACCCAGCAGTCATGAGTCAAACTCATGAGCAGTATGTGGGGTTTGGAGAAATCTGAGTTCAGATCCATGCTGGATATAGATGGTCCCAAAAAATAAAAAATAGAGGCTTCTTTGGGAGCTTTGTGATTGAAAGAGAATTAGTCAATATCATGAGATTGACCTGGATGGAAAGCATAATGCATGTGTGACTGGTGCACTTGCGTAGTTTGAGTAATGGTGCTGCTGGTGCAGGGTCATCTAGCACCAAGTTTGAGACACCGTCTGGCAGAGACAATGGAGAGGATGAGAGTGCTTATAGAGTGTGACGATCACACATTTGAGCATCACCTTCTGGAAGGTCACGTTCATGATCCCCAGGAGATGTAGAGCATGATGCTAAATGCCTCTGACTCTTATTGTGTTAAAGGTTTAATCTAACACAGCACAGAACAGAGTTTAGGTCAGACCTCATGCTATCTCTAGGACATACATACATACATACATATACGTACGTACATACATACACACATACATACATACGTACATCAGCCCTAGACCCTCATGTTACTCTCCCATATTTAGAATGGTTTTCCTTGCCTCTCCAGAGTTTTAACATTACAAAGAACATGGCCCTGAGGTTCCCACTAAACAGAAGACTATAAAAGTTCTAGCAGGCAGGAATAGAAGGGCTTATGTTCATGTTACCTGTTGGGAACTGTGATGCAGGGTAGCAGTGACCAAGCCTGTATCCACCCTCACTTGGAGTGAAGCATCTTTCCCAACCAGGATGGCTAGGTTGGCAGGCTGCTAAGGAAACATGTGGGGGAACCTTTCTGTTTGTGTGTGTGTGTGTGTGTGTGTGTGTGTGAGAGAGAGAGAGAGAGAGAGAGAGAGAGAGAGAGAGAGATGGGGGGTGGAGAGGGAGGGAGAGGGAGGGAGAAGGAGAGGAGGAGAGATTGTGTGTGTGTGTGTGTGTGTGTGTGTTAATGATGATATCAAAGAGGATCTTCTAAAGACAAGAAGGAAGAGGAAAAAGAAGACCAATGGGAGAAGGGAAAGAAGTTGTGGGGGCAATATTAGAAAAGGAGAATGACATGTGCAAATGAAAATGTCATCAGGAAACTCATTATTTTGCTCATTTGCTGGAAAAGTTACTAATTTTTAAAAACTAGTGTCAAACACTCACTTTCCATGGCTGAGGTCTAGCCTTCTAGAGAAACTGTCTTCATCTACCCTTTAGGTACTGGGAAGCTTAGAGGGGTAAGAGGAATGTGAGGTATTATAAGAAAGGGTGTCATGGGCCTGCAGAAGGATCTGTCCCTCGGGGCACGAGGAAGCCTCCCCGGACGAAAGCTGTGGTAAGCATGTGGCAGGAGGGTGCAGCCCTTTCAGAAGTCTGCTGGACAAACGGAAGGCAGAGAGCATCCCATCTCCCGTGATCCCTTCACTCTGATGACTCAAGTCTCATCTCCTTTCAGGTCCAAGGCCGTGAAGGAGTGGGCTGACTTGTTCACAGCCTGGGAAGACATGGTGGAGAAATACTTGAAGTACGGGGGCACACTGCACTCTCCTATGAGGAGGGGCCCACTGGCAGGAAGATTAGGTTCGGGAGGGGGGCATGGGAATCCCTTGTGGAGGGAGCACAGATTGAATCTAGCATGCTAGGCAGGTCAGGGGACAGAGCAGACTGGTCCCATGGATCTCCTCAGAATCAGCTAATCCTGCCTCAGAAATGGGGAACGAGGGTGGGAAGAGGGTGATTGGGAAGCGAAGGATGGGACGGTAGCCGTGTCAGGTGGGAAGGAGGCCCCATGGGGAATGTTTTGTTGCTACTGACTGGCCTGTGCAGCATGTGTGCTGGATAGTTTAGACGTCAGCTCCCACCACCTACAGTTGCCTGGGAAGAGAATCTCAGTTGTCAGAGTGAGCTGTGGGCACGTCTTTGAGGCCTTGCCTTGATCATTAATTGAAGGTGTAGGAAGACCCAGCTCACCGTGTCCTGAACGTATAGGGCAGGTGAAGCAGAGCAAGAGGGAGTGTGTTCATTCCCCCTCTGTGCTTGATGGCGGAAGTCAGCTGAGCCGCTGCCTCAAGCTCCTGTGCTCGGTATTTCCCTGAAACATGACCTAAAACCAGCAAGTGTAAGCCAAGGCACCTTTCCTTACCTGAATTGCCTTTGGTCAGTGTTTTCTGTCACAGACACAGAACAGAAGCTAGAATCCCACGTGTATGTGTGTCTGTGTCTGTGTGTCTGTGTACCTGTGTGTGTCTGTGTCTGTGTGTTTGTGTGTGTGTCTGTGTCTGTCTGTGTGTTTGTGTGTGTGTGTGTGTGTGTGCCTGTGTATCTGTGGCTGTGTGTGCCTGTGTATGTGTCTGTGTGTGTGTGTGTATCTGTGTGTCTCTGTGTGTGTGTCTATGTCTCTGTGTGTCTCTGTGTGTCTGCGTGTTTGTGCTGTGTGTGTCTGTGTCTGTGTGTCTCTGTGTGTGTCTGTGTATGTGTGTGTGTCTGTGTATCTGTGTGTCTGTGTATGTGTGTGTGTGTGTGTATCTGTGTGTCTGTGTGTGTGTGCTGTGTGTGTCTGTGTCTGTGTGTCTGTGTCTCTGTATGTCTGTGTATCTGTGTGTCTCTGTATGTGTGTCTCTGTGTGTATGTCTGTGTCTGTGTGTGTGTGTCTGTGTCTGTGTGTATGTGTGTCTGTGTGTGTTGGGTTTGGAGCACAGGAAGGGAGCACAGGGTCATCTTAGCAATCTTTCTTCCCAGGAGCCCTACATCTCCACAGGCTTCAGAACCCTTCACCAAGTTTGTTTGAACTCCCATCTATGGAGTGTCCCCCAAAGTAGAAGAGATGGGTTGGGAGCAAAGATCTGGCATACGCCCCTCCCTGGTTGCCTCCTCTCAGGCCACTGACCTGTTACATCAGCTTCTCACACGCTGTGTTTTGTCCTCAGCCCCAAACTGCGGATGTCCTTCATTCTCTTTGATACCGTAGCCACAGTCAATATGCCACTCACCGCAGACAGGTAAGTATTGTCTGAACTCCAAGGCTGGCCTGGTGGTTTGGGCCAAAAGGAATTTCCAGCCACTGGGACAACCATGTGACTGCCCCTGTCCCCAGGGTGGCTGGCCAGTACCCACACTGACTTCTCCAGTCACCAACCCCTTAAGTCCCTGCTTCACCAGAACCCACAGACCCTGCAATTGCAGAATTTCTGCACTCTCTCTTTCCCTCCGTCACCCCAGCATCTTCCCTTGGCCCTGGCTGAGAAACACATAGACTCTAGGGAGCTGGCAGGACAGACATCTGTGACTCCTCAGAGTTTTGTCCTGTTCTGAGGTGCTCACTGTCTGCCTGGACCAGTAGGGTAAGCAAGGAGTTATAAATGAAGCAAAGGACAGTTCTGGGACGTGAGGAGGGCGTCTGGTACCCCCTTGACTATAGGAAGAGAAACCTCACCCTGCGACGGTGAATCCCCAGAGCTAGGTGCCACCGGGAGGTATGAGCGACAGACAGCCACTGGGGAAGGGTGTCCCTTCTGTTCCCCTAGCCCCAGAGGCTAAAAATTGGAACCTCTGTCTGTCTGAAACAGAATTATAGAAGCCAGCTAGGCATTAGTGGCGCACACCTTTAATCCCAGCACTCAGGAGGCAGAGGCAGGAGGATCTCTATGAGTTTGAAGCCAGGCTGGACCGACAGCCTCCAAAACAATACAGAGAAACCCTGTCTCATAACACCAAAAAAAAAAAAAGAATTATAGATGCCCTGTCTGAGACTCCTACAGAACAGGCCGGGTGGGATAGAGGAGGAGGCAGGGATATTCAGGACTGGAGGTGTACGGAGTTGTGGGACCCTTGTCCAGGCCCTGGGGGGGAAGCTGTAAACACGGAAGCGTGACGAGTCCCAGAATGACAGAGCTGGCACTCCAGAAGGAGCAGGGAGGTTCTCTTCAGGGTCAGAGGAAGGCCTGTGACTTGGGTTTGGAGAGACGTGACTGAGAGGCAGCAGGGCTGGGTTGGACAGAGTAAAAGACTAACCTGAGCAGAGAGGAGGCAGTTGACCTAGGCACAGGGTAGAGGGCTGGGCTGGACTGGGGGAATGGAGCTGGGCTGGACATGGGAGAAGGGGCTGGGCTGGTCAGAGGGGAAGGGCTGAAGTGGTGTGTGAAATCCCTGGCTAGGCCCTCACTGAGGATTGTAGGCATGTTGTCCTCAGTTTCTAGACAGGGCTTAGCTGGGCCAGGCGTGGAACCCCTGATGCTTGCTTACTCCGTGCATAGCAGGGTTTCACTGTCCCAACAGAAAGCCACTCAGGGTTCATTCTAGGTCACTTGCTCAGTCTGCTCAGCCTTGTCACATCGGATTACCCTAAATCCCCTACACACCCTTCCTGGCCTAGAACAGTCACAAAGAGCTAGCCTGCCTACTCCAGTCTATCCTGTCTGCTTTAATAACACCTGACAGACCATGCTCCTGTTCAGCCTTGGGAGCACAAACCCCGCTGACAGCCCTTAGGGTTGACTCCCAACTTCAGGTCTTCTGGACATGGAGTCTGCAGCAGGGGCCAGGGCTATGCAGACTGACTTCTCTCTTCAGCAGAGCAGAAGGAAGAGAGGCAGGCCAGGGCTCTGTGGTCATGGGACACGTTCCACCTCAACCCCATGAGAGTTACATGGTCTTCCTCAGCCCAATCCACTGAGAAAAGGAGAGTGACCACATTAGGTTCCATTAGGAATGCGGTACCTCTGTAACTCAGACACACATTCCCCAGGATGCCCCCTATGCCTCAAGGGTGGTACAAGCATGGCCTCTATCACGGCACCCACAGTCTGAATGCTCCGGAGCAGTAATGACCTCAGAGAGAGCCAGACTTTCCTATGGGACCTCTGAACCAACACTTCTGAACTTCCTCGGTGCTAATGGGCCAGAGGAAGACTCAGGACAGAATGGAGGGGGGAACGGGACCTGGTACCCACCCCACGCTTGCAGCCTGCACAACGGACAAATCTGTGGGAGAGCTTGGAGCTAGCTTGGCACTCACCTCACCCTTGTCCAACCTCAGGCATGAGATCCGCAATGAGCTCACCCGAGTGGAGACTCTTCAGATCCACGGACCAACAATGGTGAACAAAGCACTGGAAAAGGTACGGAGGTTAGAGCCGCACACGGGCGCTGGCGCAGTGCCAGCTACCACGGGGTCACCTCGCCCCATTGTCTCCAATTTTCCATTGTCTTCCGGCAGGCGAATGAACAGATTGAAAAGGCCAACTCGGGAGGTGAGCTGCCTGCTCCTTCAGCGGGGCAGGACCCACAGAGCTGGGCTCCCTACAGAGTCTGTGTGCAGATCCTGGATCTCTTCAAGTCTGACTCTTGGAGCCAGTGGTCCCCGATCCGTGCAGCTGGCCCCTCTGAGCACAGCACCCACTAAGGATGCTTCTGAGAGGACCGGTAGCTGCTGTGGTCATGTGTTGGCTTTGTTCTCGCTGATCCTTGGCCTCCAGATGTGCTGGGGATATGAAGAAGAAAGCACGGGGCCTGAGCAGACTGAGGACCCATGCATGGAAGCCGGGGCTTAAATAACACATTGACTATTAGGATACTTTCACCTCTCCCCTTATTAGGCCACCTCCTGGGCCCACGCATCAGCCAGCATAACTTCCATGCAGACCAAGGGTCCACGTCCCTCCAGAGTGGAGGTCTACGGCATTTGTGTGGAATAGATTGGCCCATGCAGGGGAAAAAGTTAAGGAAATTGGGATTCTTTCGTCTGGGTACACTCTGATTTGTGATTCTTACTCACTGTGCTCACCATTACCAGATGTGCAACCCTGGGAATGTGCCTAGAGTTAGCCCAAACCTCATTGGCACAGGGCTGCCCTTTCCTCCTGCTATCCAGAGATAGGCTTGACCTAACGGTATGTGGCTGGGCTATCCCCAGGGCATAGATTCTGTAGTTCAAGAACATTGAGAGTCCTGGCCACCTAACAGGCGGGGTTTTATTTAGTGGGTGATGCGCTGTGTCTGGACCCCTGACTCAGGAGGCCGAGGAGTGGGGGCCACCTGGTCTGCCTGTGGTGGACAGCGCCGGGCCCACAGGCCCACACAGTGTGTTTGCTCTGTGCTTCTTTGTCAGCCACTAAGAGAACAAGTCTGATCATCACTGTGATCTGGGGTATGACGTCATTAAGAGTGTGGCAGGCGTTCAAGAGGGAGGTGAGTCTTACCCATCCTCCCAAGCATTCTGTGCATTTCGACTGCTTAATCAATACCGCCTTTCTCTTAGGCTGATAAAGCTCGGAGCATGGGGGCATATGTTTACTGTGTTGGCATGGACTTCTATGACAGAAATAAGGTAACTTGGCCCAGGTAAGCAAGTGCGCTCTGAAACCTACTGGAGAAAGTTCTCAAAGGCAGCTACCCAGACCTCCCAGAGGATGGTCTGTGCCTGTCCCAGGAGACACAGACAGCAGGTTCCATGCATAAAAATATCCAGTGGTTGGATGAGTTGCCCTCAGACCTTGACACCTCATAGACATCGTCACCTGAGAACAAGTGGGTGTGTCTCACATCTAGAGGTCCCTTTGTCCTCTGTCTCCTGGCTTGGGGCTCATGATACCTCCTCTCTTTTGTAGCTGGAGGAAATTGCAGACAGCAAAGAAACGGTGTTCGTTGTAGAAGGCCCATCTAAGCTGTTCCATGAGTTAGTAGACCATGTGAGTAGGGTAGATATGAGCAGTGTGGGTAACAGCATCTCACGGGCCCCCCAAGGTTCTCACTACCTATCCGCTCTTCCCTTTCTCTGTCAGATTGGAACACTGACCTGCCTTGAACTCAGATACGTTGAGCCCCCCGTTCTTTGCATAGAAGGTGAGATCTGGGTAGCAGATGCTTGGGCACAGGCTGTTTATGTGTATGTGTGTGGGTACCTAGGATGCATGGTATGAGTGTGTGATATATGTGCTTGTAAGGGTGTGGGCGGATATGGTGTAGGTGGTCTACATGGCATACAGTATGGATGGCAGAGTGTGCTTGTATTGTGCATATAGCATATATGTACATGTGTATGCAGTATATGTGATGTGTATTTTTGTGTAATTTGTCTATATGGCATGTGTATGTACGTAGCACATTGTGGCATATATTTGGTGTTTAGGTTATATGCATGTGTACATGTAAATAATGTGTGTGCTGTGTCTGTGAGAGGTGATCTGGGTACTCTAGATGCATAAGCTCTATGTGGCACCTAAATGTCACATGTGGCTTGTGTGGGTTTTGTGGGAGTTGTGCATGGTATCAATGGTGGACGTCCATGGCGAGTGTGTATGTATTATAGGTGAGTGTGTGGTGTGCTTGATGTGTATCTTTAAGGAGTGTGGTATGTGATGTGTTTCTATACAGTGTTGAAGCAACTACATGTGTGGCATTCAGGGTCTGTGTCTTATGTACTTACTTGAACTGGAGAATACGATGAGTTTTGAGGTTCAGGGGGAGAAAGTAGACGTGTTATCTCCATGACTAGTTATAATGTAATGTGCATGTGTCAAGGGATGTCTGACAGTGAGGGCAATGTGGGTGTGTATGCAATTGTCATCTTTTTGTCTCAAAACAAAATTTTTTGTTGTATAGTAGGAAAAGCACATAGACAGAAAGCCACACTGTGCTAAGCAGCCTCGGTTATAGCCTTGCTGTTAGAATCGGTTTGGGATAATGTACTGTTTCCAATTGTATAATATTTACAAAGACATAACAGGATATCTTGGGATGGGACTTAAGTTTCATCATACACTGCAGGCATACAGCCTGAAGGTGATATCAGACATTATTTCTGGTGCAACTTCATTTCATCTACGACTCGCTACGAGGTTAAATGTGAATTTCAAAAGTGTTTCCACTTGTGGAGACCCCTTGAGCCTCGAAAAAGTTCTAGATTCTAGAGTATTTCAGACTCACCTGTTCGGGTGAATCATGTTCAGGCTGTGTGACGAGAACAATTCAACTCCTCCAAGAAAGTTCAGGTGAAGCCAGGATTGGACAGTGCAGGGTTTCCACACCCACAAAACAGGCACAACAGCAATATGATCGTGTCAGTGGATAAAAAAGGAGAACCAGAGCCAGTGAACGCCCACTGTGCGACAGAGAATGGGGGGAACCTACATGCTTGACAGGAATAGCCCCAAAGGCAGCCACACTCACAGAACCTGACAAGGGTACCCTCTCTACAGCCTAGAAGTCCCCCGTCAGCGCGCCCAGACCACGTTGTGTGGTCTTAGAGAAAGCTGCTCTCTTTGTTCGGGAGCTTTGTGTACAGCAGGCTTGTCTTCACTGGGATGGCATTTGCTCCCTGATAAATGGAAGAGAGGAAACCGCAAGTCCCCTGTGGAGACAGTCAGCTGTTTCCCTGCTTCCCGCCCAGACAGACGGCTGGGTCCTGGCTTTTGCGTTCTTCTGTGGGAGCCCTGGTTCCAGGTTTGAGAAGACAGGATTACACTCACGTTTAAGCTCTGTTGCCCACGGTACCCAGCCTGGGGTCAAGTGGCTCATGTGGGGAAGGCTGCCGCGTTTCCTCCGATGGATAGGAATATTGTGTCAGGACTGTTGGGAGATAAGAACAGCAGATAGTGTGGTGACCGGTGTAGCATTTAGAGGCTGATCAATGCCAAGGACATTTTAGTTCTTGGCTCTGGCTTCCGTTTATCTTTCCCATACTGTGCAAGCGTAGGGAGTTTGGTGACTGAGGAGTGAAGGGGTAGAGGACCCTTCTGCAGGCTCTCCCCTGCTTCTGGCTAAAGGAGCCCGGCCTTGCATCCTGCCTGAGTGCTGCATGTCTCCATGACTGTCCCTAGACACAGGGACACAGGGACTGTCCTTACCCAGGCCTTGGTGTCTGGGTAGCTGTGACAAACTCCAGGTGAAAATATAAGTTGTCGTTCTCCTTACTGCAGCTGAATCATAGTGACAAGTGCCTCCAGACACCAGCTTAGCCACCGACCTGTTAAACGATTGTTGATCTTGTGCAAAGCTGGTATATACAGGCTACTTGTCACTTTGGGGAATTCCCAAGGCCAGCTCCCCAAGTGAAGTAAATGGGCTGTTTCCTGGAGCTGTTTCTGAGTCCATCTGTGTGCCGTGGAGATTTAAAGGAGGGTCCACTACATGGGGCATCTGAAACACATAGGACCAGGAATGAGGCAGGATCATCACCACGGCATCTGTCCAGATAAACGATAGTGAGAATCCTGCCTTCCCCACTGTGGGAATGGCTACCAAGATTCCCTCTTGGTGTCCCCTGAATGTTAGACTCAAAGACAGAGAGCAACCCCACTGCTGTTAGAAAGAGACCGCTAACAAGCTGAGGTCCTCATTTGGTAGGGCGGAAGGAGGTGGTGAGGAAGGAATATGTTGGCCTCTGGCTTTGCAGCTGAAACAAAATGTCTCCTGTGAGAGACACTCTTGGGTGGGTCAGGGGCCTCCCTGGTCCCCCATGTTTTAGCCTTATTTCTAGGGTCTGCAACCTGGATTGCCCCCTGTACACTTGGTAGGTTTTACAGGCTATTAAATCAGGAATGGTGGAGAGAGGTAACCAGCGCGTGAGAGGCTCCTCTAAGCTACATTGGCACAGCCTTTGGTGACACAGAAGGATCTGGCCTGCAGAGGCCACAGATGTTGGTACAGGCACAGCTGCTGCCTCTCACTGGGGCCCTGGAAATCCTGTCTGGAGCCACCATAAACAATGCAACCAGAGTCACACCACCTCTTCCTCATGTCTCCTTGCAGAAAATAGCCCAGTCATCTTAAGAGGATATGGCTTTCATAATGCAAAGAGCCTCAACCAAATCATCTGCAGATTCAAGTTCAGTGACTCCAAGGTCATCAGTAAGTAAACGCCCCCCGTGCCTCAGACTCATGCATCCTCCACAAAGATCCTTCCTCTCAACCAGGCAAGCATCCCGCCCTTGCTGGCCCACTCCCCATGGACACTGCGAGGCGGAATAAAGAATGTCCACGTGGCATAGGCAGCTGCCTCTCTTTTTGTGAACTTAGAAAGAGCAAGTCCCTGCCTCTGTGGCCATCTGGAATAGCGTCAGTGAGGCTGGGCTAACACTGATGTGTCCTCACCACAGGGTCTGCCCAGCATCTTCTCAGTTTACCCTGTCCCCTGAGTCTGTGAATGGGACAAGACAATTACTGCTAGACTCAGTGCCCCTTTTGTGGGGACTTTTTCCCACCCCGAAGCCCAGCCATTCCATCTATGTGAGCAAACCCTTTCCAATGACAAGAGTTCCATTATAATGTGTATGACCACACCCAGTTAAGGCAGAAATGATTCAGGAACTCACAGGTTACTTACCTGGACTTAGGACCAGAAAACTGGTCCAGGTAACAATAAACCTTTTCATGCCTAGCTTCCCTTGCCCAGGATAGAAAATAAAGGGGCAGTACTGTATGTATAAGATGGAGATTTAATTTTGTATTTTATGTTACAAGAGCTTATGATTCTTCTGACATTGCTCATTATGATTTTACTAATAGAAGTGTCACAATGTAAAATAGCAAAATGGAAGTGGATAGCATTAGAACACACCAGTGGTAAGAAGTTCAATTCTACTACAATGTGGTTAAATCAAATGACTCAAGTGGGACAAAGAAACTGTTGTTTGTGAAAGATGGGTACCCAGAAGTGCCCCAAATTGTAAAGGACACCACTGAGACCCTGAGAGATCAGGGATATGACTAGTGGTCGTTCTGTTAGATTACGGATCTGTATGTAGGCTTTACGAGTGAAGTGTCCAGGTGGACACAACTATAACTCTGCCATAGACCATCCAAATAGGTAAGGATTCTGTGCAAACATTTAAGAGTGGCCTAGAAACTTAGATCTGACAACAGGCGCATGTCTCCTGAGTGCCCCTGGGGGGTGGGCAGAGCAAGTCCCCCTACCCTCTGACCTAGTCCCAGGGCCAAGAGCAGCAATGAACCTTCCTGTCCCTCTCACTGGTGGCCAGAAGTCAGCAGGAACAGGGCAGTGGCTCTGACTTTTGGGGGTTTCTAGAAATGGAGGTCATGACAGGGAAGTGGTTGTCCTCCATCAAGCACCAGGGCTCCCTGAGGCCAGGCAGTCCAGTCCACACAGAAGAAAACTAGCGCCTAGGAAGGTGGGAGTGGACAGGCAGGAAAAGTGGAACCCTTGCCAGCAGAAATTCAGCTCAGCTCTGTCCCTGTCCCAAGCTTAGGAGGTGAGATGACAATGTCACAACTGTGGTGCCCTTCTCAGGTTCCCACAGAAGTAACCATCTAGAGTCTCTCTACTGGCTTCCGCAGCTTGGAAAATGGTATCCGTGCAATCTTGATGGTAGTAAATGTCATCCTTGACTCTTCCCAAGCCAATCCCCACACCCGCCAGCAAGTTCTGTGTCCTCTATGTACAATGTCTGTGCAGCCCCAAAAGAATCCCAAACGTGAAAGGAAACTCAGACCTTCCCCCCCACAGCTCAGCCCTTCCACCCTCGACGTCCCTTTAAAATCTCAACAACTCAGCAGGAATGCTGGGATTCTTTCAGTTTGCTCCCTGGCTCCCCCTCATTGGTCGGTCTCAGTTTTAAGCATCAGAGAGGATAGTTATGGTCCACAGTACACAAAAGTCCCAAGAACTGTGTGTGAACTTGAAGCACCAGCCATACGCTTTCGGTCATTACTGAAGTGCTAAGATGCCAGCTCTGCTTGTCGTACATAGCTTAGGATGACATGATAGCATGACTATTAACATTATTCTCATGTCTCCTTCTTTAGATAAAAATCCAATTGATAAGAACTTCACTGTCATTATTTGCCCTAGACCAGAGATAGAGGAGCCTGGAGAGTAAGTGCCCATAATTGTTGGCCCTATAAATCCAGAGACAATGTCGTCTTCGTAGTGTACAGAATTTGGTTTCCCCTCTGCTATAGAATATGTCTGTCTGCAGGTGGGCTCTGGACACTCTTGCCACCTGACCTTGTTGGTGATCCCTATGATAGACAGGGAATACCCAGAGCCCAGGCTCTGCTCAGAGCTGAGAACAAGGGATGGTAAGCATCCATACCTGGAGTTTCAGGCCACCTTCCAAAGCTAACACAATGGACGTTGTAACCCAGAGAATTGTGCACTCCCTTGTTCAGAGCCCACTGCTATGATGACAGGGCCCCTCATGTCCTGGGTCATACATGTGGCCATCATTGCACGAGTTGACCCTTTGTGCTTTGGGAAATAATCTCTCAGGGCTCACCTGTCCACTCTGAGAGGCCCAAGTGCTGTAAGTTCAGAGTTGTTGTCATGAAGAAAGCCCTGGCCTCTAAGCTGCTTCTTGAGGTCTGCCTTTCTGTGCCTTAGGACCATCCAAGTCGAAGTTAGCCTGAACAATGGGAGAGACTTCCTTGCCCACAGCATCAGTGTGAATACATCCTACTGTGTGAGTACCACAAGTGGCTTCAATGGCCCTGTAGGCAGAGGTCCTGTGAGAAGAGAGATTCTCCTGGGATGGCAAAGATGGGGAGGGTCCTAGGTGAGGCCCAGTGGCAGCTCATGATACACAAGCACTTCAGGTGGCCCAACCTAGTTTCTCAAAGTAGGGGCAAGGTGCCAGACCTAGGAGCAGCCATCACCATCACTGTCCCCTCTCCCGTGGCCTGTGTTTTCAGCCAAGCTGTTTCCAATCCCAGGGGCCTCACTTCAGTGCTGTCTGCATTCCTTGCTCTAAGTGAGACTGTGACCCCTTGGAAATGGTCAGATAGGCTGAGATCGTTGTGCATAACAAATCAGAGAGCAGCCAGGATGATATCTGAGCCTTAAGCTTGCAAATGCCTGTGAGAGAAGGTGCCCCTTCCCCTGGACAGGTGTCAAGCTAGGGCCCAGGAGGAGGAGGGGCAAGTTTCCCACCACAGAGGTGGAAGGCAAGGCAGGGTCCCTTATCTTTGTGGGGGCCAGGCAGCAGCCTGGCCCCTTTACACCCGTAGTTCAGTGTATTGTCCGCTGAGACCACAGCGAGAGCGGAGGCCCAGAGAGTGCAGGGGAGATGGGGCCGTCCTCACCTGGGATCAGTGCTGAGGCTTGGAGCAAGGCCAGAGCCAGGCAAGAGTCTTAGGCTCCCGCCCTACTGTGGTACCTTGAGGCCAGGCAACCCAGGAGGATGGAGAGGAGGCAGGGGAGCGGCAAGCACTGGGCATCCAGGAAGGGTGCTCCATGGTGCTCCACGGTAAAGCTAGACTGTTCTGCTAAGGATGGAGACCTTTCTGTCCTACAGAGACCCCCACCAACGAGCACTACTGTCATTCCTAAGACTTCTACCCTACCCCCAACGACGACTCCAGAAACTTCACCAACAACCTCCACCCCAGAAACTACTATCCCAACAACTACTCCTGCCCCCACTACCACACCCCCTCCTCCCCCTCCTCCCCCTCCTCCCCCTCCTCCCCCGCCTCGTCCTCCCCCTCCTCCTCCCCCTCCTCCTCCCCCTCCACCAGCACCTTCTCTGCCTCCATCCCCTCCTCCTCCTCCTCCACCACCTCCTCCCCCACCACCACCACCTCCCCCTCCAACTCTTCGTCCAACATCCCCTGTGCCTCCACCGCTGGCCCCTGTCCCGCCACCAGCTGAGCCAAGCAAGGAAGTTTTGCTCAGCACTGTGGTGCTGCTGCTGCTGCTGCTTCCCGTGTTGCTGTGGTGGATCTGGTGGCTGTGCTGCAGACGGGTGAGTACCCTCTGCCCGCCTGGGGACACGGACATGGGACAACACCATGACACTTTCAGCCTGCCGGGAAAGCTGCTGAGATTCCCTGAGGGGCTCCCTCGGGGTCAGGTGGAGCATTCCAGCTCGACGCTAGCGTGCCCTGCTTACACGTAAGTCCATGGGACACTTTCCATCCTTTACCCCAGATGAGGGTCACCTGGCGGATTGAGTTACAGCACAGCAGAACTGTTATTCGGCCTCCTATACTGCAGCAAAGTGCATGGCATCGTCGAGCTTAGAAGAAGAAAGTTTTATTTGGGCTCAGAGATTTGGAGATTTTACTTCATAGTGTCCCATTCCTTTGAGGCAGGAGCAAAGCAGCACATTTTGATGAGATCGTGGGGCGAGGAAGTCCACACCTCATCTCCAGTTCTGAAAGAGAACTATTCTAGGACATACTGCCAATGATTAACTTCCTCCCATGGATCCCACGATGTCCACCTTAGACTGCAAAGCCTCCATATAGCAGCATAGGCTGGGACCAAGGTCCTAGCACATGGGGTGTCTGGGGGACAGAGATCCAACCCTAGCACCACCAAGCCTCCATCCCATGCTGTCTGTTTCACCCTCTAGCCTCCCAAGGCACTGCCGGCACCTGCACCACAGCCGAAGGTGAGTGGTTCTTTGTATCTTGGTGTAGCCGCGTGTCTGAGGGGTGAGTGAGCAGCAGATGAGGCATTGTGCAGCCTCTACACAGGGCCTCCCACTGCCTCAGCAAAGACAAGAGGTGAAGAATCTGCAAAACTTAGGGGACAAACAGACCCAGAATGTTCTGATCTAGACCTTGGTCAAACAATCAGTATGAACAGTCGTTCCTCCTGCCTGGGGGGGGGGCTTTCAGGAGACTCCAGTGGACTCTGGTGGATGCTGAGGTTGCAGCTGGGATTCGGAGAGCTGAGCCTTCAGCATCAGGCCCCGATTCTTATCTCCGAGCTGGGGAATCTTCTGGCTACTTTAGATCTGTCTTCATCCCCATCTCCTGGCAGAGTAGAGGGGTTGGCTGGGATCAGCCTAGGCTCCTGAGGGATAGGGAGGGTGAAAGAGTCCCAGCTGGCCCTGAGCTGTGAGGGATGTCCCCAGGGAAGCGCAGGAACAAGGTGGGTGAGCATCTGTGGCTCACACTGGGTGAGGACCAGAAGTCGTAGTGAGAGGCGGGGCAGGTGGGGCCTGGGTTTGGGGTGGGATGGGAAGAGCCTCCCTGTCTTGGTGGGTCTGTGCTGGCTGCAGAGTGGGGTGGGTGGGGCTGCCTATGCACAGGCCAGAACAGAGAAGAAGGGGCGTTGCCTGCCACCGCTGGCCCAGTGCTGTGTCTAGTCCAGGCTTCTCCCAGCAAGGACGACCCTAAGAGAACCAAGGGCAGAGAAGTGGGCTGTTAGGATTTTGTGAACACCCTTATATGAAAACTGCAGGAAGCGTGGGTTCACCTTTAGTTACTTTGGAGGACCCCTCCCCAAGATAGAGGGTGCATCCTCCCATTTGCCCCAAAACAATAGCTGAGAGGCCTCACAGCACAAGGTGCTGCACAGGGCACACAGTGCCCCCTACTGGAAGCTGCAGACAGAGGTCAGACAGGTTTCCTCCCTGTGAGCAGCCCAGAGAGAAGAAGCAGCGCCCCTCTCCAGTGTCCCAGCCAGCACCTGCACCACCACCGCCACCAGTGAGCCTGCCCCCTACTGTGATCATCTGCTGCTGTGCCTGCTGCCACGTGTGTGTGAGCAGAGGCACAGAGGTGAGAGACCTGCACGGGGCTGCGAGTCCGGGCTGGGCTCAGGGGCTCAGGCCCAGCTGGGTCTGACAGCAGAACCCTGGGTGGGGGAGAGAAGGTGGCTCGGTGAGACAGGCCTGATTGACCTGAGATCATACCCAATGTCTGTTCTCCACAGCAGGAGGGCAGCACACGGGTCTCCCCCACCCCACCTGAACTCGCCTTGAGTCTCCCTTTGGCACTATCTAGGTGTTAGGACAGCAGCCACTGAGTGTTTGAACTGGCCAATCTGGTCCTCAGAGTCATTTTTCCCAACCCCAACAGAGTCTCTGATGTTAGTTTCCCTTAGGAATGTGGGTAAGTCAGTGACAAAGAGGCTCGTACAGTCAGAGCCAACAAAAACAGAAAGGACTATCCCTGCAAAACCTCTGCCCATATGAAAACTGGTGCGAAGCCAGTGATCCTGGGCTCTGGGCCTCTTCGTGCACAGGAGGACAGGAGCTGGCCCAGGTGCCTCTGCTCCCTGCTGACAAAGAGACCCCGCAAAGTCATTGCAAACTCCTCGGATGGAGTCAAGCCCTGGGAAGGGAAGCAGCCACTCAGCCCGAGGTCCCCTTCCTTCCCAGAAGGTCTAGGTCCATCGTAGGGAGGAGGAAACAAGTAGAAAGGTAGCTCTGGGCCCCAGGAGAGAGCACCCATGAAGTCGGCGTTCAGGAAGAGTCCAGCTCCCGTCAGGCTCTGTTCTCTTCTCCACTGGTTGTTTTTTCTCTGCGAGGGCTCCATCCCTTCACTTTGAGACTTCTCCACGGTCATCTAGGCCAGCCAAGAGCCAGCCCTGCCCCTCCCGTGCCCGTGGGTAGACAGAGAGAAGTCAATCCGCACCTCCCAGAGAGGGAGGATGCCTCAGACAGTGGCACTGCCTAAGCCTGAAGGGCCGGGCCCCACCCACTCAGGGCCTTCAGCATCTGAGCTGTAGGACCTAGGTCATAGGGTCCCCCACAATCAGAGCCAGGGATCTGGCCTCTCTACCTTCCTCTTCTCCCTGCTCCTGAACAGGGCACGGGCCTTCCACTTGTGTCTCATGGGTGGTCCCAGGTGCAAGTCCTCCCATTCCCAGGGACTCGCTCCAGGTCTGTGCCCACATCATGGCTCCCCTAAAGGCCTGGGCTTGCGAGCACACACCCTCAAGCCTCTAAACACCTCCGAAGCCAGCTACTGGCTTCTCGCCCTACATAAACACGGCTTTGTTCCAGGTTCTGAAACTGTGACCCACAGTGAGTATCCCACACATTCAAGGATATACACTCCTCGAGGAGCATGCTGGGGATTTCTTCACGGTTCCCTAGGGACAACCATATGTGACATCAATCCTTGTGCCTTGTCAACAGAGTCGGAGGACACCTTCCTTCTCATGATTGCATCTGCTTTTCAGGGCACTGTGACCGTGTGCAACTTCAACCCCCTAAGCTGCCACCAGTTGCCACAGATGTGGTCTCAGCCTAATCACCTGGTGAGTGGGACCCAAAGCCACTCCTGAAGTGCAGAATGGCCTTTGAGTTTTGGGGGGTTTTGGTTGGGAGGGTTGTTTGTTTTGCCCATGCTGGTTTGATTTGTGCCTGAGAACACGCAAGCAGAGCCGTGTTCACAACATGGGCTGGGAAAAGCCCAACACATGGGGCCTAATGCTGGTGAGCCTCCTGGGGGCTTCTGGGGGCTCCTGGGGGATCCTGGGGGATCCTGAGCATGGTCCTTGAGCCAGTCCACTGGGACAGGAAGGCGGCTGGCAGGCATGACTGACGATGCTGGGTTGCCGTCGATGGCTTGTTCACCAGATGCTGAGAGTCCCCAGCTATGGCTTAAACCTTGCACTCACCTCAGCTCTTGCCCAGCATGCATGCAGCCCTCAACCCCTCGCCTGTCCTGAGATCCTACACCAGGAAGTCTGGAGTAGAGATCTCTCTAGAAATGAAGCCTCAGCCTTCTTTGGCATGTAGCTCCTCGTCTACCTGGAAAGTAGGCAGGGCAGATCCTTCCAGGGCCCCACTGCCTGTGTCCTCACAGGGAGGCCCCTGGCATCAACTCCCAGTGCTCCACTCATGGAGAGTCCTGGGCTGCACAGGGTCCTCAACCCATGTTCCCAGCATGTCTTCCCACCCCCAAATTCCTAACTGAGCCACGGAGTCCCTTCTGCCAGGTAAGAAGCAAGAGCCACTGGTTCCGAGAACTGGGGTGACAAATCATCCGAACCCCTAACCAGGCCGGCTTCAGCCTCTAGCAGTCAGTCTAGAAGGACAGTGGAGCCTGAAGGCCAGCTCCCTGGGGAGAGGAGAAGTTCCATTCGGGCCCACTCTGTGGTGACACTGGTGCTGACCCTACCCCCCCCCGCCCCGAGCTGGCACTGCATTGGCTGGTTTCAATGACACTTTCGTGCCCTCATCCTTCTTCTCCCCCTGCAGGGGCAGCACATCAACCTTGACCTCCTGAAGGCCCTCTGTTCTCATGCTTCCTGCACCTCGAAGGCCAGCTCACCCCCGAGCCGGGAGTGTCTGCCCCTGACCTGTCCTCAGTGCCATCATCTCCTGGACCACTGTTCCCAGCCACTTCCTTTGCTCCCCGCCCCTACCCAGGTGTCTTCCAGAGCCTCAGTGTCACTCCCTCCCATGTAGCAGACCTCTCAGACAGCCCAGAGCCAAAACTGAGAGGGCTTTGCTTCTAATCTGGACCTATGCATTTGATCTTGAATTTTAATTTTAAATAAAAATGGAATTTGCTGCTTATTTAGGAAGTTTCTCATCCAGTGATAAACCTGTTGTACCCAGAAGGACAATGATTCCTGGTGTCGCGTGGCTACTAGGTACGGGTGAGTCCCACTACTTTGTTACCAGATCGGTGACATGTAGGTTCTTATGTCAAGAGCTCTATGGAGAGCAGTTCCAAATTCATCCTGATTCATCCTGAGTAAGTTTAGCATCTGTGGGGGCACACCTGGGGGCTCTATGTATGTACCTCTGCACCTATCTTTTTAGGGAGCTGCTGGAGACCCCAAGCTGAAGTCCTCATGTTTGCATGTCACATACTTTACTAACTGTATCACTTTCCAGGCCCCTGGTTAGCCTTTCGTTCTGTTCTTTATATAGGTTGTTTTTGCAAAGAAGTTTCAAATCATGTGCATACAGATTTTAACAAAGTTCACACCACACTGTCGAACACGAAGAGGTGGATACCATAACAGCATATGGAGCCTGACTGACAGGTGGCAGGGTCTCATGTGCAGTCCCATGGGGCGGAGTCCAGAGAGAAGGGACACAGACATCCCTGCAGCCTACATTTACCCTGAGCGCCTAAGATGACATGTAGATATGTCCGGAGCATCCCCCTGCAAACTTCCAAGAGGGATCGGGACAATGGATCTCTGCAAACGCAGAGAATAAATATTTATGGTACTTCTGATAGCAGGGAAACCGTAGGTGTACAAGAGACTTAGTCTATTCCCTGGAAGCAGTGTGTTTGTAGCTGTCTCTACCTGGTAACTTCTCTGTGGCTGTGTGACTCAGGCTCAGTCTACACTTCTCTCAAGTCAGCCAGCCCTGGGCTCTCTGTGTGAATACCATATGTAGCCTGTCTTTCTAGAGAACCTGGGACTCCACCTACCATGTGCTATGGTTCAACTTGCTAGTTCACTGAGAGTGAAAGGTCGGTTTATGAACGCCTGGGAGCCTGAGTGCTCTAGCCACCATGAACTAGAGTTGCAGCCCTGACTGGGGAAGCCACAGGACTTTGAACAGAAAGTTCTCTGCACTCTGGCCATCCGCAGGGACCCTCAGCAGGCTGTCTGTGGTGTTTTGTGTCAGAGAAAGAAAGGGAAAGGGACCAAATCATCGCATCCCCCTTGTCACTCTCCATCTTTTCTAGTTCAGCCTACCCTGGTGAAAACGCAGATCCCATCCTAGAAAAAAGGAAGACAGGGCACAGCACTTTGTTACACTATCCAGACCATCTCAATCCCCTATCTTTGGGATAAGCAGGATTTTTTCAGGCAAATCTCACTTTGGAGCATCACCAACCAAAGTGGACAGAGGCAATTCTTATCTAAGGCCAGGAGGTAGAGATCCCGTCACTGAACATGGCCCGAGTCACATGATGTAGCCTCACAAGAATCAAAATAAGCCATGATGGGCAACGTACTGTGTGATCCCAACACACAGACTGCACAGGACCACACAGAGAGTAGATTCTGCTGCCTTATGCTGATCTCCCTGAGGGCAGCCTCCATGCCAGGCCGAATCGAAAACAGCTGCTGGCCTGAGCCTTCCAGGGCTCCTCTCCGTGTGTGAGGGCCCTCAAGGATTCAGGGGGCATGGAAGGGTTTCACTGACACCTACTGAGAGCAGCCTGACTCCTGCAGACACCCAAGAGAGTCTAGTCTTTACTGATATCGAGAGACAAGAGCAGAGATATTTCTCCAGCAACCAGATCCTCAGCATACTGACTATCTGGCCCCAGCTCCCCTGGTCCCTGGCTGTCTCTCTGTGGGATGGAACGTGAGGCCTCAGAAGATCCCAGGGACCTTGCCATCTGTGCTGCAGGGAAGAAAGTTCCCTCCCTGTCTGACTTCAGTTTCTGGATTCTTCTTCCCAGAGGCCAAAAGTGCAACACTGCCCTTGGTCAAGGGCAACTCCGGGCACTGGTGGGAGACAGGAGTCTCACACTGACCCCAGCAGAGCCAGAAGACAAGGAAGATGCTCAGCCCTCTCCAGCAGAGAGCGTTGTCTGCTCCACCAGACTCTCGGGAGACGGCTCCTTGACGGCAGGTCTGGGTACCAGGTTGCCCTTCGAAGCTTAGGAAAGCAGTTTCACCACTTGTTTCAAATATTCTGTGATTTTCCACAAGGCAAGCATCATGGGTATAGCTAACTGGACACTTGAATTGCAGGGCCCACAAATCAGTAATTAGAAAAGTCATCATCACATCCCACTCTGTCAGTGTCTATGGAGTCCTCTGCATGCCTTGGCTCCAGAGGGAATGAATAGGCACTAACAAAAGAGCATTTGTGGGATGGTGGCAGCGTCTTCGTCCCTCTTGGGCACATTTCCCCATCCTGCTGATGCTAATCTGAATGTGTCCCGGCTAAAGTACTTGCCTTGGTCTACTATGGGAGGTAATGTTTTTACCTCTTCATTTCCTTCCTTTCTACAGGGTGCCATTTTAAAATATTTTGCTTAAAATTTTAAATCATTGCAAAAACTGATAACATTAACTTGGGGTGGGTTATTTTTTGTTTTGAGAGACATATTTTCCTTTCTCATCCATAGTGTTAGAATCAGGAGAAAATATTATAAAGTTATAATTTTTCTATTAAATGTTTATTTTATACATAAAAGTAATTTATACAAATGAACCATCTTTAAGGCTTAGGAAATCCTTGCAATAGCTTCTGAAACTGAAGCCCCATGCACACACAGAAATGGCCCAGTGTTCTTTGATATGATGTGGCAAACTACTTCACTAAACTCACTGTAGCTCCCTCCAGAACGTTTAGTTTCTGCTCATGTCTGTGCAACCTAATGGCCAAGTTTCCCATGGAGCGTCAGATGAAAACCCTCAACTGACGAATGTGCATTAGAGAACATAATAAACTATCAAACTGGATTTAAATGATAATTAACAAACAACTTTGGTATCTTGTGGTTTAGCCTAAGGGCATATATAATAAAGTACATACAAGAAAGATTAAAAAGATGAAGCCATGTCTCACTGACAAGACTGAATTCTACAAGAAATGAAAGGTCTCAGTATCGTCTTTCTGCTTTCCCTCCCAATTTAACCAGACTTGCTTTTCTAGACATCTTCACTGGAAACGCGGCCAAGAAAATCTGATATTAACATAAAATACTTTCACACTGGCCCTCTACCTACAAACACATGAACATTAATTTCAAATACCACAGTTAAATTTTTAAAATGTTGTGTGCCTCACTAAGCTGTAAAACCACGTTGCTTATTGTGTGAATTGTCAGGGGCATTCACAAGCATTTAGTTTACTGTCATTTTTTACTACCACTCACACCCAGTCAGAAACAGCTCTTGATCATTTGTTCATTCTTCCCACTATGGCTACCGAACATGTTACATTGGCAGATGTTTGGAAATACCTGTTAGAGAAAGCTCTGTGGCTGGTGTGTGATTCTTACCCTAGTGCCCAGCCCACATCCTGACTGAGAACAGAGCACTCACCATCATTTATGGATGGAAACAAGGCCCAGAAAGTTAACTTGAGAGTAAAGAAAGTAAAATCAGAATTCTCGTGTGCAAGAAAGTGAAGGAAGAAGGAAGGACAGAGAAGCAGACAACCGAGAGGGGAGAAAATTGAGATGGGTCATGCTTCCCCGTGACTTCTGGGTTCTGCACGGACATACCTCAGTGTCAGCATAGTCCACAGCCCACAAATCTGTGCAACTCAGCAGCCACGCCCCACCTACAAGGAGGGCTGCTGGACTAGATAGAGCCTCTGCAACTCACATTTCCAAGGGTCTAGAATCTGTCACCCTGTATCCCAACTACCCCTTAAGAGGATCCAGACCACCAAAACAGAGTCAACCCAGGTCCCAGGTTTCTGGTCTGCAGTCTGCAATTCCCGAGGACTCGACTCCTGGGACCTGGGCCAGCTGCCTGGAACTGAAGTCTGTGTGTGGGTAGAGTATTTGTCTGGTTCAGTCACTGCTACAGGAAGTTACCGCCCACCCCAGCCACTCCACCCCTTCGCTCCACCCCACCTCAGCCTGCCCCAGCTCCCACCCAGCATCCCATCCATACCTCGGCTCCTCCCCTGGTGCCACCCTGACCTCTGCTTGTGCAGCTCCTGCCTTTTCTATGCAAGGCTCCCCAAAACTCCTCCAGCCTACACCTTGAGATCCTCATTGATGGAGTTGGTCTAGCACAGCTGTGTCTTCTCAGAGCCTAGAAACTCTCCCGGGTGTTTGCGGAAGCTTCCCACTGCCCCTTTGCCTTTCTGAGAGCCCCCGCTCCCCACTTGTAGAATGACAGCCCTGTTCCAGGGTGGGACAAGTTCTGTGACACTGGAGAATCTGAAGGTGTTCAGAGAAAAAAACTGCCTCGGGAGTAGCAAAATGACAGTTGATCTGTGAGTTAGTTAGCTTTGAGGTTCCCTAAGAAAACTCCTGAAGCATTTAAGTTTTAAAAGGTGGACTTATTTTTTAGAACTATTTGTTCTGCTACAAAAATTATATATGTGTGTATGTATATATATATTGCACACTTATATAATAGTGGCCATTTAAACCACATTTTAAAATATTAGATTTCTAAAACTAATTATAAAATTTCAAACTAAGATTTTCTTTCTCTATAAACCACAGAGTCTAATTAGACTGCTGGTGTGCATGGACATAGGGCCAGCACCCGAGGATGGGCAGCACAGGTCAGGAAAGCATCCTTTCCACCAGCAACCGCAGCTACCAAGAGCTCTCAGATTGGGGAGGGTTTCATCAGCATCCCCTTTGTCAAGCTTTGGCTCACAGCTCTGAAAGCTCCAGGATCTTACGTCTTTGGGACTTTAGGAAGGTAGTACCTGTCTCTAGAACTTTACCAAAGTATACCTCCATTCAACATTTGTTCGGGCTGGCACATCTCACAAGCCAGGAAAAGAAATGGAAGGGATGGAGAGCTCACCGTCCCTTGAAGGATTGTCCCCAATGATTAAAGATGTCCACTAGAATACAGAGTTGTTACCTTGGAGATTAGGGCCTTTCATTTAACCCACAACATCCTGTGTTAAAACTAAGAAACTGTGCGTTTTTTTTTTCAAAATTAAGTGAAAAACACAACCCGTGCACTGGAAGAAGATATTGCCACAACTGATGAAGGCCTGGTGTTTGGAACATAGGATGTAAATGAGTCAATAGAGAAGGATAAACACGCTAGAAGGAGAAAGAACACATACACACAGGTTCTTCAGAGGAACAAACTCCCAAGTCTGTGAACAGATGGCCAGTCCACTTTGGAATGAATAAAAGATTAAAGTCTAAGAGGTATCTATTCAATGGGAGAAACTATAAGACTATGACAATGAGAACGGTCACAGAAGATGTGATGAGAACTCCAACATGATAAAGCAAGTATCCCAAGTTCGATCAATTGAGATCATCATTAAAGACAATAGCAAAAGAAAACCCAAGATTCCCACAGGCCCTGGGTTATGCCTTGTAAACTTTATGCTGTACATACCGAGATCTATTTTAGACTGAATTAAAAGTTTCAGCTCTTGATGCCTTTTCAGACCATGTACAGTCCTAAAAAGTGATCATGGTATTTCTAAACATGATTTCCCTCACACTCTGGGTGGTTCTGAATTCCTTTTGAATGCAGTTGTCTGGCACTGGCACCATCTCTCCACGCCACGCCCCCCTCTGCCACTCCAGGTACTTTTATGCAGAAGGGTGATACACAGGACAGCCCACCCACACTCCTCTCTGAACCTCGACAGGCTGGTGAAGCTCTGACACCATCCCTGGTGAAGTGATGTCATAAAGGCCTCCCATCTCAAACTACTCCCTGCAGATACTGTCCCCTCAAGCTCAGAGCCTCCATGAAGAATGTTCATGCCCATTGATGCTGTGAAGAGACCCAAGTCACAGGCTGGGGTTTCACAACAACCCTCATTGAGTCCCACTCTGTAATTCCTCAGCCCTGTTGCTCTCAGGGGCCAGTGAGGAAGCTTCCAGACAATTCCAGTCTCTCCTAGTGCTTGGGACTTCCTTTTCCTGGGGGCCTCCCAATCCGCCTTTCCTGAGGGTCTGACCCACTTAACCTGAGATCACAATAAAATGGTTCTGTTAAGTCATCATCGAGGCAATGGATGGGTGAGCTCTTCTCACTCACAGGGGACCCTGGCGGCAGCACAGTCTCCGTCTCCTTTTGAAACCAGACGTTGCATGCTGACCAGGTCACTGCTAGCCTCCCGCTTTCCACACACTTGTCCCTTGCTATCTTGATCTCGTCACTCATAGTAACTGGTTAGTTCAATCACCTTTTCCACTAACAAAACACCTGGGTGCCTTGAATTGTCCCCTAAAGATGTCCTATGAGGGACTGGGATTGGAGACAAGGAGGCCTCATCTGAGACACCCGCAAAGGGCCTGTGACTGCCACTGTCAGTCAGCATGAAGGCATTGGGCAGAGGGGCAGGTCACAAAGTCACCATGTCAACCTCCCTGTGCATCACAAACCCAGGGTGTTTTGCCCCAAGGAAGGGGAGGGGCTCTGCAGGTATTTGGGGAAGGACACCAAGCTGCCTCCAAGTTCCCATGCTCTGAGTATTCCAGGTGGAGTGCTGCCATTGGTGGTAGGGTACAAGTGGCAATCCTCAATTCCTGGGTCCAGGCAGAGATGGTGAAGAAAGGGGCCAAGGAGACCTATCATTCAGCCTACATGTGACCTTCAACAGCTTCCCAAGAGGTAGCAAGGTCACTGGGTCAGACAACATGGGGATTCACATTCCCCGCATGCCTTGCTTGGCACTTTTTCTGTTCTTGCTCCTGTTGCCTCTTCCCATTTCAAAAGCTAGAGGCCTCCATTACCATGGCCCTGGCTGGAAACTGCTCCATCGCCTGAGCAACAGCTTCCCAATTTTCCACCAACGCCAGATCCAACGCATGAGACAAAGCTTGTACCAAGGCCAGTCAGGGGAGGACTGTCAGGGTGTTTTCGACCTCTACATCATCCTGGACAAGTGAGTTGTCATCCTTTCTGTCCCTAGAAACACCTTGGGCATCAGTGGTAGGTCTGACTCTGCAGGACAGTCAAGATCATTGTGGTCCCTCCCCAGGATGTAGGCTTCTGTCACTGACTTCCTGAATGTAGGGAGGCCAACACAGGCCTTCTGGATGACTCTATTCCTAGCATCTTGGCCCTGATGTTGTCACCAAGCCCCTCAGGCCAAAGGCTACTGAAAGGTACCGTTTTAGCCATGTCAACTACCCACAGAGGGACGTTGGAGATTGCTGCTGCCACTGTAGGCACTGTCTCAGCATTGCTGCTTGTAGTAGCCGTAGTTTTACTGTCCTGAGAAGCTCAGGGCTTCTCTGGTGGTGTGGCATCTAAGTATCAATTTCTTGGCTTACAGAAATTTGCAGTGTGCTCTTAATTTCTATAAAAGGGGAAATCATGTTTATGCTCAATCTCCTGAGTTTAGCCATTTGACTTGTCTGTATTTTTCTCTATTATTTTTATACATGCATGAAATGTATTTTTACCTTCTCTCCTCCTTCCCTCTATTAGTCATCTATCTCCCTTTCTACTTTCGTGTTTGTTTTCTAATGACTCAGCGAGTTTCATTAGGTTGTTTCCAGGAGCAGGGCACCCAACCAGTGACTACATCACTGAAGAAACTGCCTCCCCCTCTTCCGGCAACCATTAGCCACAAATAAACCATCAGGGAGGGATGGGGCCCCATGACAGTGTTGATGAGCTGGGTCTCACGGAGCTCTTGGGCAGGCTCTCCTAGCTGCTGTGCATTCAAGAGTTCAGCAGTCATGTCCTGTCCAGAGCTCACCTTCCCCAGCTTTCGCTTTTTCTAAGCAATCTTGGGTGATATTCCCCCGACGTTAGAGGGTGTGATAAAAAATTATCATTTGCGTCTGAGTTTTCCACTCCTTCAACTTGGAAACAACCCACTTGCTCTAACCAGCTGCGAGCCTCTGCAATTGTTACTGCTCATTGCAAAAACCAAACAAAACCTTTGATCAACCGTACTTGGCCAAAGTCAAAGGTGGCAGTAACCTACCGTCACTCTAAATAACATAGTTACTTAGTAGTAAGTTTAATGGACACATTGTGTCCATTTAGCAAAGCAACCCTAGTAGCTTCCCCACTAAAATCTATGATCTCCCCAGTCACAGGCTTTTGACTAGGTTTTATAAGGCCAGATCGGAAGTCCCTCTTGTGGAGTAGGACTCAAATCCAATCAGAAGGCAATGTGTTATCACTAACAGACCTGCTTCAATTCCATCAGTGGGCACAGGCCTTGCTTGGCCAGTCATGGACAGCCACTGTGTGGCATACAGGTCCCACAGTTGAATACGCTGCCAATTTTTCTTCTGTAGCCTGCATAGACCTTCCAACAAAGCCGAAGTTAGCCAGCAAGTGAGGTAGCTTCCAGAGCAGTCCCTGCTTGATTTCTCGATGTCTCTCCACTGGAGTGAATGGTGTCTTTGGCAATATGGTCTTAGCATCCAGTTCTTATGGGCACCTAAGAGCAGTGGCAGTTGCTTGTCTTGCTTTGGCAGCCTCCATGACCAGTAACTCTAAGGGAAATAGCCCACATCTGACCCTCCCTTCAAGCTTTTACATTTTTATTTTACTTTTTAATCATATTACCGAGTATCACGTTTCTTGAAGGCTTTTTCTTTTTTTCCATATAGAATAAAGGGACCGGTGTTGACATAAGACACCCCAAGACCAAGTTCTCAGGACAAAGGAGATTTATTTGCCCCGGAGGGACAGAGGACAGGGGATTAGAGACAAAGACAGGAGATAGAGGACTAAACAGTGAGGGAGAAGGGGGTTTTTGTCCTGGGGGAGGGGAGGCGAGAGGCACAAGGGACTGCCTGTGGGTAGAGTTTCTGTCTTCCATATCCTCATAGGAGCTCTGGGATTGCAGGTCGTGCATTACTGCAGTCTTATGAAGGGTCTGGGAATTCTAACTTAGGTCCTCACGCTTACACAGCGCCCAATTCACCAACTGCACCGTATGCACAGCCGCTTGGAAATATTTTCTATCCCTTTTGTATGAGATTATTCTGCTGTCTCTGCCCCTAGTTCATAATTTTGCCTTTTTATGGTGTCCAATGGTTGCACAAGTCCTATTCGCTTATTTAAATGTTACCATTATCCTTGACTGAATGTTCCAGTCTCTCTACCCTCTTCTCAACACCTCATGCTCTGTGCTTTCATAACCCATTCTGTTTGTGAGGCTTCCCATCCCCAGCACTTAATTTAGCTTCTTAGTTTCCCTCATTTCCAGCTTGGTTTCCCTTCAGTATTTCTGTCTCTTCATTGAATTCCCTTTATTGCCTCCTTTATCTCGAGCAGCTGTGTGTGTTCAGAAGCTGATCACACCCTGCTTCATTTCTTCGTGCACTTACAATCGCTCTTAATCTGTTTCCTCTCTACGCGGGGGCAAAGCAGGAGAAAATAGGCCCAGGGATCTCAGAGTCTTCATGGGAACATCCCATGGCTCTTGTAGAAATTGGAATCGACAACTCCAGGGAAGAAACGAGCAAGTCTACAGCTCTTTGTCAGCGGCTGCTAGAGACGCTGAGCCAGGCTCAGGACAGCCTGGCATTGGAGGGTGTTAAGGAAGCTGGGACACAACAGCCGACTCCATAGCCAAAGCCCAGTTCCTGGAGAAATTTTCCTTCATTAGGCTGTGAATGAATGCTGGGAAATATGGAGGAACCTGTGGACTCTGCTATTCGTTACTTCCCTGATCAGTGTGACAGGACAACACTTGACAGATTTTATTTGTATTTCTCTAATGTGGGGAGAATACATCAATTCTCCATGGGAGAGTTTGTTTCATGGATGGGTTTTCAGAGTTCAAAGCATGCCCAGCAATTGCTGAGCACCGCAGTGTCACCTAAACACATATACAGGGCATGAGACTTCAGTGTGAATATTGTAAACACACAAATAAAAACAATGGAGGGCTTTGTTTTGGTTCATGGCTGAGTGTTCCAGTCTACCCTGGTGGGGAAGACAAGACAGCTGCAGCTGGTGTGGCATGGTGGCCAGCAAAGCCCTGGGAAGACCTACAGTCCTCAAGACCCAACCTGTGCCCCAAATGTTTCCCGCCCGGCAATGATCTCACCTGAGGAGTAGCTTTGACCCCTAATAACCAGACAGTTCATTAAGCCAAGCCTGGGTCACCCTGTAGGCCTCTCCTAGTGGTCACAAGCCTTCTGACAACAATAGTGCCAGTAGCCCTGACCCACTCATCCATGGTCGGGACTGAGAATTGTTAAGTTAAAGTCAGTGTGGAAAGCCTCACACATCAGAACAGTAGGTGGCTCTTCCAATCAAGACAGCTTCCTTCATTGTGAGACTACATAACCCTCACCTAGCACAACCAGGCACTGTGGTGAGACCCTAAAGGCCCTTTGGGGGATCTCACAGTCTCAGTAGATGAGGCTGTTTGGATACTTTCTGTTCACTACAGGCCCTAAAGAAAGTCACTCTCGTGATGATCCACCATGGTCAGCAGCACTGACCCAGGGGCATGTTGCTTAAAAACAGACAATGGGAGACTGGAAAGGCCAAAACTACCCTTCCACACCCTTTAATATGTCACGCATTGACATATGCCTCCTTTAATATGTCATACCTTTAATATGTCATACCTTTAATATGTCATATCTTGACATATGTCTCCTTTGTCTTCAGGTCAGGCAGTGTGGGCAAAAACTGGATACATATTTGTACATTTACGGAGAATTTGGTGAAGAAATTCCAGAAGTATGGCTTCTCCTGGCTGTCATCGCCTCTGTGCTTCAAGGGAGTAGCCCTCTAACAAAGAGCCGGTTTCTTAGATTTGATGGGCGTGAGATTCCCTCATAGAGGAGCATAGCCCCAGGCTGGTGTGCTAACGGGAGACAGAGTCCGGTGGGGTACTCCAGCTCTTGCTGATCCTACTCGGGGGTTAGGTGTGGTACAGTGACAGGGTCCACCCTCTGGGACCCCTCAGCGTGGAAAGCACATCATGATAGGCAGTAACTTATACTTAGTATAGGATGCTCAGGGCCAGAGGCGTGGATTGGTGAGCTTGTCATGGAAAGACAGAGGAAAAGGCAGGAATCCTCAGGGGGAAATTTAGGGCCCTAGAGAAACTGCACATGTGAACTGAGTCCTGGAGGTGAGAGAATGAACAGGGTCAAAGGGTGATGTTACTGTGACCCCAACACTTATCAGACACAACTAAAGAGAGGTGTCTGTGGCTCACAGGTTCAGAGGGTTCTAGTCCATCCTCCACGGGCATGGCAAGAGGAACACATATCCAAGGCTATTCACACCATGGTAGACCAAGAAGAAGAAAGATAATCGTACGGACAGGGACCAGGCTATAGCTTGATGATCTGACTCAACTAGCTAGATAACATCTAAAGATTTCAGAGCCACCCGAAAATAGTGTCACCAGATGGAGAACACATGCTCAAAACATGGGACAATGAGGGACATTTCCAACTCAAGCTATAGCATTTACACCCAACGAGTATGTGGTCCCTTAGACCAGGGAGTCAAGGTAATTCAGGAAAGGCTGGGAGAAGAGAACCACAGATAGCCTGGGGAGAAAGCCATAGTGGACATCATGCTAAGCCAAGAGAATCTGATTTCCTCCTGTGAGCCATAGGGAGAGAGAGGCGGGAGGGCACGCCTGTGAAGGGCTTCCCAGACAGAGAGTGATCTCTTTGAGTTGGAGGCAGGGAGGGTTAAGAAAGGTAGCTAGAGATGCAAAGAATTTGCTATTGGGGCCAGGGATAATGAAGCCCCTCTGGGGGAGTGTGGGAGCCTCTTTGCCTGTTCAGAATGGGTGATGTGAGAGTGTGTCCATATGCAAGAGGAAAGGGTGGGAGGCAAGGGGAGAGAAAAGGGGGGGAGAGCCTGAGGGGAAGAGAGCTGAAGCGTGGGATGGAGCAGGCGGTTGTCCTCACATGGTCTTTCTTTTGCCTGGAGCTACAAGTCTCCATGGGCTTTAGAATCCTTTGCCAATTTTACCTTAACGCCTCACCTCTGAGTGACCCCAGTGCAAAAGAGATGGGGTGGGGACAGGGATTCTGTGCATGTCTGCTCCCTGACAGGTTGGTGACCTAGTGTATTGGCTTCTCAGTACATATGCTTTGTCCCCAGCCCTAAACTGCGGATCTCCATCATTATCTACTCAACATTGGCTGATGTCATCGTTCCACTCACCTCAGACAGGTACGTGTTGCTCTGAATCCCAGGACTAGCCCAGTGGCCAGGACACTGGGATCTTGAGGAAACTGAGGGCTTGTAGAGACCTCTGGGGTCTCCCCAAATTGCTCATCCACAGGGGACCAATGTACCCAAATTGATCCCCAGCCTTAGGTTACTAACACCCTTGGAACTGTACTTAAGTAGAACACATAGGCCTGATACTTCTAGAAGTTCTCCACTCCTGAATCTTACCTAGACTTTGCCCATAACAACATATGGGAGCTGGTGAGATATATATGGTGGATATACCCTTCATACCCACAATTACAGGGAACAGGTGAGATATTATGTGCATTCTGGCCTGTGTGTGGCCTGCCCTGAACAAGGCCCCTCTCTTCTTGGGTTAGTGAAGCAGAGCGACAGCTGGAGAACCCTGAGGAAAGCACTGGAGTATGGGGAGGGCAGCTAGGTGCCCTGAGGTCACAAATAATCGAGCCTCAAGATGGGGGCAGGAGTCACCTGTGCTACATGCCACAGGAAGGCATGGGAAACAGGAAGCGGGAAAGTGGGGTGGCCCAACAGTGCCCCGAATCCCAGAGGTAAGAAGTTGGGGCTTCTGACTGATGAGGGGAGAAGCTCAACTTTACATGCTCTTCCAGAGACTCCATACGGAGTTAGAAAACCAGAAAAGAGGTCTGAGGGCACTGAGGATTGGGGTGTCTGGAGGTGTTGACACTCTCTGTCCTGGGACCTAGAGAAAAGGCAGGAGCAGGAGGTGAGGGAGACCACCTCATGGATGGGACAAGAACCTCTGAGTCTGTGGGCATGGCACCTGAGGTCCATCTGGGTGGGGGGGCAGGAAGTGGCTGGCTCCCAGGAGTTCAGGTAAGGCCTGGTATAGCGTACCCTAGCAGCTTGGTTTTGGGGAAGCCTAATTTAAATCTGAATGCCAGAGAAAATTCCTGAGGGCAATTCTGGCAAGTATAGAGAAGCCTCAGGTCATAGGGGAAGCAAAAGGGAGAATCTGGGTGGGGCAGGGGTTGTCCTGGGCTGAGTGGAAGAGTTGAGTCTGAACTAGGTGGAGGATAGAAATCGGAAGACGATAGTGAACCGAGTCGGGCAGAAGGATAGATTCGGAGGTCAGATAGAGCAGTAGGTGATGGAATGGAAGAAGGTTGGGCGTTGGCAAAGAGTTGGGTTCGGCTGGCCAAAGGCAGAGAACTGGATTGGGCTGTGCTGGCAAGAGATGAGGGCAGGACTAGGGTTGGAAATCCCTGGCTTGGTCACTACTGGACATGTTGATCATGATTCTCTCATCTTCTAGTAGGATATATCTGTGCCGGGCAAGGGACTTTCAAAGCTCAGCCCCTGTAAAACCTCTCTGTTCCCCAACAGGAAGCTACCTTAGAGTTCACTGTAGATCACCTTGCTATGCCTGCTTAGCCTTGTCACATTAGATTATCCTGGACCGCATACCCCTCTCTTGTCCTAGAAGGACCTTCAGACCCAGGCCTGCCTGCCTCGGTGTGTTTTATGTGTCTTAACAGCACCTGACAGGCCATGTTGCCTCAAGGCCCAACTCCCGGGCTGAGGTTTCTCTGTCAGAAGCTTGAGGAATTCACAGTTGGGCTTGGATCTTAAGCAGACCAGCTGCCTTCAGCAGACTGGAGGAGGGAGTCACAACAGGGTTCCGTGACAGTGGAGACAGGAGTTGTGCAGTGACTCAGCTGCTGACATGGCTCCCTTAGTCCTACCCAATGAGTAATAGACTTCCCAGAAGGAGGGTGACGGTGACATCAGGTTGCCCATTCAGAACGCAGATACCAGTACCCCGTGAAACCCTAGCTTAAATCCCAGGATGTTCTCCAGGGACTTAATGGGCAAGGTCTCTGTCCCAATCTCCAAGACGTGGGTGCCCAAAAACATAGATGAACTCAAAGAAAACCAGATCTTCCCATATGGGACCCACTGAATTCCCTGTCCCTTCCTGTCTTGGTGTTCATGGAATCAAATAAAGGCCCAGCTCAGAAGGGAGAGACAGTGTCTCTTGTCCAGTGTCCTTTCTCAGCCAGGTGGTCTGCAGAGTGCACAAAGCCACATGCTTTGCCCTGGCAATAACCTTCAAGCCACTTCTGTTATTCTTTGTAGAGAAGCAATCCTTAAGGGCCTTGCAAAACTCCACGATGAGGTGCCTGAAGGATTTACACACATGCAGGAAGGATTTAAGAAGGTACAGACTGTTATAGACACCTCTGGGTACTGGCTTTGTCTAGAGTACCACTGGGGTCATCTCATCATGCACCATTTTCTTTTCTTCCTTTCCCGGCAGGCGAATGAACAGATCAAAAAGGCTACCTCAGAAGGTGAGCTGCCTGCACCTTCAGTGGGCAGGACCCACAGAGCTGGGCTCCCTACAGAGTCTGTGTGCAGATCCTGGATCTCTTCAAGTCTGACTCTTGGAGCCAGTGGCCCCCGATCCATGCAGCTGGCCCCTCTGAGCACAGCACCCACTAAGGATGCTTCTGAGAGGACCGGTAGCTGCTGTGGTCATGTGTTGGCTTTGTTCTCGCTGTTCCTTGGCCTCCAGATGTGCTGGGGATATGAAGAAGAAAGCACAGAGCCTGAGCAGACTGGGGACCCTGTGCTACAAGTCAGGGCTTGGTTTTCCTCTGGCTGCTAAAAGTCTTCTCCTACCTCTTGCTTTGTCAATCATGCCCATCTAAGACCTGTGTCCCTCTGGGTAATGGGCCTTGTGGAGTCCAGTGGGGACATTAGGTGAGGGGCCATTGAGTCCCCTGACTAAGACGTTGTGACTTGGAGACTGGTGGCTAACAATAAGGTAGCTAGTACAACAAAAGTTACACTTTATTATGTTGAGGGTCATCACATAAAGCTCACACATAAATTCCTAACTACAGTCGTAAGCCCGTCTCCCCAAGACTGCTCACCTGTGCAATGTATCTTAGATGAAGGTCAGGGCCAGTCGCTAACAGAAGTCTCTGATTCAAGGGTGAGAATCCTGAGGGAGACTCTCCAGCCACAGGGCACATCAAGGTAGGGTCTCTCCTGATAATGCAGAGCAGAGCATTGCTCTTGGTCCCTTATACATAAGTATATGCTTATATAGTGTCCAGTGGGCATCATGGGGTCTAGGACTGTGTCTGGTTATCCTGAGCGAATGATCACTGGGTTTGGGTTATCAGGTACAGCCTTGGGTGTGGGAATCCTGACTAAGCTAGTCTAACACGTCTAAAAGGCATTTTTTACTATATTCATTGCGGGTCTTGACTCTTAGGGCCTACTGTTACCAGTAAAATGTCCCTAACAGTGTGCCTGAAGCTGGCTGGCCCCAGACTCCACCTGCCTCATTGGACATCCTCATCAAGGAAGGCCCTCCTTCTTCCCCACCAGCCCAAAGAGAGGTTGGGCTTATAGCATAGTAACTAGATGGCACTTAGGGCAGAGGTTCCAGAGCCAGGGAATAAAAGACCAGGTCTAATGGAAGGGTCTCAAACCCCTCTGTAGAATACAGTGCACAAGTCTTCTTTTCACTCTATGAGACCAAGTAGTTAGGAGCAACCAACTTTGTTGCAGTAGACAGTGCTCATCTGCAGCTCCACTCACTAGGCCATTCCTAGAGTGTCCCCTACCAAACCTACCCACTCCTTGTTTCTTCTTCAGGCAGCAATGTCAGCAGCGTGATTATTGCTATGACTGACGGGCTGTTGTTGGACAAGCATTTTAAGCTGACCCTGGAAGAGGTAAGTCCAGGCCACAAATGTCAGCACTTTGCCTCTGATATTTGGGGCCCTGTTTTCAGCATCTTCTTTCTTTTAGGCCAACAAATCTCGGCAAATGGGAGCAACCGTTTTCACTGTGGGTGTGTATCAGTATGACAAATGGCAGGTGAGTGAGACCAGTGCCCCTGGATAGCCTACTAGAGCAAGACTGCAGAGCATCCTTACAATGCCAAGATGGTGTAGTCTCATCTGCCCAAGGTGCTGTGGGCTTGAAGTAGCCAGTGTAAAAGGGTAGCTCACTTGGTTGAGTAAACCAACCCCCTATCAAGGATGGGCAGGAGAGCTCCCCACTCCTTAAGTTTTGGCTTTGAATGAAAGCCAGTGAGTGCTTGACATCCCGGGTTCACCATGACCTGAGGGCAACAGTTCCTGCCCCAAGTCTATTACATCGACTCCCTCTGAGGTTCAAACCAGTCAGTCACTCTTCTCCTATCATAGATGGTCCAAATTGCAGACAGCCCAAATCACAATTTTGAGGCCAAACAAGGGTTCACTGCTCTGAATGGCATCGTTGACAGGGTAAGTGGGTGTACACGACTGGAGGACCTTGTCTGCATTCCCGGGGGCTTACTCTCCTTCCCGTTTCTAGCTCTGTCTCTGTCTTTCTCTCAGCTTGCTTCCAATTCCTGTATCGAAGTGTTATCCGCGGAGCCCTCTTATGTGTGTACGAAAGGTAAGAGCGGAGGGGTCACGGACATGGGCAAATGGTGTGTAAGTCAAGAGAGTGTGTGCATTTGCACGCGTATGTATGGTTGTGACATTGTTTCTGAGTGTGGTTTGTATGGGATGCCTATCCTGTGTGTGGTGCTTCCATGATGTGTGTGGTGCATGTGATGTATGTAGTGATAATATTGATCATCAACTGGACGAGATCTAGAATTAACTAGAAGACAAGCCTCTAAGAGTGAGGGAGTTTCTCGACTGGGTTAATTGAAGTGGGAAAAAAGCACTCTAGATATGGACAGCAATATTCATCGACCTGAGGTCCCAAGCTGAATAAATAAAAAGATTAAAGGAAGGGAGCTCTAGCATTCACCTCTCTTATCATTTATGACTGTGGATGCAATATGACCCAGAGCCTCATGCCCTTACATGATGGACTGTACACTTGGACTGCGAACTAAGATCAGGTTATTTTGTTTAATCTAAGTGTGTTTTGTCTGGCATTTTGTCACAACGTCAACAAGAAAAGTAACTAATATGGAACACTGGCATCAGGAGTGGTGTGGCTGCTAAACTCTGACTGTGTGGTTCTTAAGTCTTTGAAAATAGCTTGCAGTAAATATGTCCAAAAGTTTGGAACAGTGACACAGAAAAGCCCAAGAATGCTTGTGTGTGGTAAGTATGCTTTCCATGGATGTGTGTAAGCAGTGTGTACCCATGGTATATGGAGTATGATATGGGTCATAGAAAGGCTGGGGAGCGAGTGGCTCCAATAGGCATGGGAGGAGAAAGTCTGATATATGATGGTGCTATGTGTGCTAGGGATAGATTGTGGTGTGGAAGGGCACATGAGCTGTCTGTGCCACATGATGTGCTTTTATGACACATACTACATGCCTGAGCTTTTATGTGACATGTGATGTCTAGTATATATCTATGGGATTTGTGCCATGTATTTATATTGTCTGCTATATAGGAATAGCATGTACAATATTTGTGGTATGTGTTTATAACTGAGTGTGGAATAGATCATGTGTGCTGTTTTATGTAAGTCACAGAGTGTGTCCATTTGTGAATATATATGTGCTATTAAAGAACTGGAAGGAAGAGAGAAAGAGTGTGTGTGTGTGTGTGTGTGTGTGTGTGTATGTGTGTGATATGGGTGATCAAGTATATAGTATTTTTAAAGGGCAATGATGTTTGTGTGCTTGTGTTTTATGGCTATATATGCCATGGCAGTATGCATATACACGTAGTATGTAATATGAAATATGCACATTACTCCTGGAGACAAGTGGAAACACCCAATGCCTGACAAAGATATCTACGAAGACAGCCATGCTTACCTCGCCCCAGTATTGTCATGGCTAACGCCTGACCTCCAGGATGAGAACTGACAAGGATGGCCTCTGTCCATTCCAAGGACACACGTGTGTTTTTTTTCTGGAGGAAGAATGCCTTTCTCTGTCAGTACTTACATGAGGGACTTGGTCCCATAGAGCGGAATTTTGTTCCCTGCAGGAGAGAGAAGCAGGGAGCCCTAAGTCTCCTTTTACCACTGTGGACAGCTCAGCGCTTCCTTGCCTTCTGTCTCTGGCAGCTGGGTCTGGACCTCGATATTCTGTGGGAGCCCAAGGCTCCAGGCTTGAGAAGGTAGAACTCTGCCTGCTAGTGAGCTGTGCCAACCTCGGCACTGATCTGCGGCAGTGCCATGCATATGGGAGCTCCAGCAGCAGAAATCCGTTGGGAGATGTAGAGACAGTCAGACAAAGGATGGTGTGGGGACAGGCACAGAGTCTAGAGGCTCGTATGCATTAAGGGTGCCAGAAGCTGGCCATTGGCTCTGGGCTGCCCCTGTCCCTCCCCTTCTTTTGGAAGAGTGGGGAGTCTGCTATGCTGAGAGATGGAGAAAAGATTCTTCGGAATCTCTTCTGCTTCTGGGACAAATAAAAATAAAACTCTCAGCAGTGCAACCTGCCTCTGACTGCCTGGAAACACACAGGCCTTGGTGTCTGGACACCTGTGACAATCCCCAGGTGAAAACATAAATTGTCACTCTTTCCTCCCCTGCAGCTGAACCAAGGTGACAGGTGCCTCCAGACATCTGCTTAGCCACTGGACTGTTAAACTATTGGCCTTCTTGTGCGTAGCTGCCGTATAACAATACCTGTCACTTTCAGGGAAACCAAAGGCAGGAACCTGCACCCCAAATGAAACGGAATTAGCTGTTGGCTTGTGGTGGCACTGAGTCTACCTGTGTGCTATGGAGCCTGAAGTGGGTCCTTGTAAAGGAGAGTCCTTAGTCAACTACTCCGAGGTGTCTGGAATACGTGGGAGACAGGAATGAGCTGGCCCTTGGGTGCCATCTGCAACTATGCAGGCAAATGAGGAAAAGATAGAGGAGTCCTGCCTGTGGATTCACCCACCCAGTCATCCTCTCTGTATCCTGTTTATTTTGTGTCAGCATCAGGGAGGTGTTCACTGAGGTTAGAAAGACCTTGCTAAAGCCCAGAGTGATGGGCAAGGTGAATGAGGATGAAGGATGCATTGGCTTCGTGACCTGTATCTGAGAGGGACTCTCTTGAGTGGGCCGGGGACTGGACCCGTGTCTAAGAGGAGCCATGTACTACTAGGTATTCTCTTGGGTGGGTCAGGGACCAGACCTCTTCCTTATGTCCCCGCCCTTGTTATTGGAGTCTCTATTAGCACACTATGGAAATGCAGGAAAGAACGGATAGCCTTCATGCTCCATGGTACCGCAGGCATCAAGTAAGGAGCTGGTCCCTAACCCTGTGCAGAGAGAGCTCTGCCTCTGCTACAGTGCCCATGTGGATTCAGTAGTGTGTGAGGTCTCCAAACAGGAAGCTTTCAGCTTTCAGCTGAGTTGGCCTAGCTTGAAACAGGCCTGGACTCTCATGACTTTGGACTTGTTGGGTCAGGGATCACAGTAGGACTCCTACCTTCTCAAGGCCCCTCCCAGATGCATTAGCATGGATACTCAGTGACAAAAGATGGAGATTTGCCCCACAAGCCCCATAGATGATGGATCAGACACTGCTGCTGTTTCCTAAGGGCCCCTGAGAATTCCATCTTCAGGGTAGCCCTCCATGACAGGTGAGACCAGAGAGAGCATGGCGCCCAACTCCTCTGCCCCAACATTTAAATGTTCTTCTTGCAGACACCTACCAAGTAAACGTTAGTGGGAATGGCTTTAAGAGTGCAGATGACCTGAGACAAGTTATGTGCAGATTCACGTTCAGTGACTCCAGAGTTGTTGGTAAGTGGTCATTGGCACCCCAGTACCCATGAGGTACACATTACCATACAGAATCATTTCTGTAGTCCAGGCATGCCTTCTGCTCTTGCTGACCATGTCCAATGGGCAGCTAAAGGCAGCATGGACCAATGGAAAAAGGGAAAAAGGACCAAGCAGCATGCCCATCCCCATCTCCCTTCACACAAACATACGAAAGAATAAACCCCGACTCCCAAAGGCATCTGGAGGCTGGCATGATGCTGGCCCATCCTCACTGCAGCATCCATTTAGCCTGTTGCCTGCTCCCCTTCCTGAGGGTCTAATACCCGAAACTGGCATCTACAGATGGGACAGAGCAGCAGCCTCCAGACTGAAGCTGGAAGATGTCCAGGAAGTCTTTCCGGAAAGCCATTCATTACAGCACACAGAGGGGAAACCAAGGACTGAGAAATCGGAAGCATAGCCAGTGGGAATACAGCTCAGCTCTTGGCTTTTTGCCCCAGCTCAGTGGACTGGCAATAGAATGCGTGTTAAGGATTAGCGGCTTCTGCCACAGTTACAGAATTCTCAGGATCCCAAAGGAGAAAAAGAAAAATGTCTATTCTTTGATGAGCCTTCTCCAGCTCAGTAAACAACTATAGACCCACTTCCTTGTTCTAAACCTGGTTGCCATTCTTGGTCCTCTTCTCCTATCTCTGTACCCAGTGCACAGCACCTCATGTTGCCTTAATCTGGAACATCCACAGGCCCTGAAAGACCCATCGCACTGCGACTAAAGCCCAAACTTCTTCCTAGAGCCCACTCTTCCAGACTCGCTCCCTTCAGCAACCTAGGAGGAGCCTTACCATTCGCCTCTGACTCATCCCAGAGCCTCCGGCCCTAAGGTCATTCCCTTCCTGCTCGTAGATCAGACATCAGCAGTTCACAAAAAGTCAGTTTCAGTGCCCATGCTCCACCAAACACAAAAGTACCAAGAATTGTGCATGGTCTTGAAGCACCCATGGCCAATACTCAGTAATTCACAACCCATACCGTGTGGTTTCCCGACAGCCTCGCCACTGAATATCTTTAACTAAATTCCAAGCAAGGCATCATTTCATGTGTGAACACTTAATTCTTTACATAAGAAACCATATCTTTAAAAGAAGGGACACATCACCAGTAACTGAGCATCTGTCCTCTTCCCCAGCATGCCCCATCCGCCTCTC